GCTAATCACCGAATGAAGCTAGTGCGCGCTTAAAAACTTCCAAAATGAAACAAAAATTTTGGAAAGACGGGATTTTGCAAAAACTCGAAACCTACTGTAGCTGGCGAGAAGATAGTTTCAGTGAACATTTTAAATCCCCCTCCTACTCAGCTGGGCAAAATTTCAAGTTGATCCGACCCCCGGAATGGCCAAATGCTGGCTTGACCTTTTTATGGCGGGCACTCGGTAAAACCTGCGAACTAAAAAATGATGCACCGAATCTTGGCCCTGCCCCAGGTATTTAAACCATTACCGTACCCCCGGGCAAATCCGGAAATCCCGGTGTTCCGCTAGGCTACGCCGCCTGACGGCCGCCGCTTAATCCGCCCCCATTAATGCGCTTGCCGGCAGCTTAAGTTAAATAAGCCCCCTGCGGCCAAATATCGCCAAAAACAATGTTTTTTTAGAGATTAGGCATCCGTAGGGTTTCCGCAAGATAAGTAAATGTACTGTCCCGGGGTTTGGAGAGGTACTGTACTTTTAAAGTTTTTAAAAAATTGTTTTTTTAAGGAGGAGCACGCGCATTTTATGCAGAATTTTTTGCTGAATAAAAGGTACGTTTTAGAATTTGTGAAGACACCAGAATAGAAAAGTTGTTAAATCGTAAAGTGCGGAAAATGCGTGTCTCAAACATTAAGGCGCCGCAACGGCTTTTTAATTTTTTAATTTAATGTTGTTCGGTGGTCGATTAAGCATGGCCAAAATTTCGCAAGCCAAGCGAAATTACTGCGCATTGAAATTTTGAACAAAATGGTATTTCGACAAAATTAAATTTCTACAAAAGTAAATTTCGACAAAATGAAATTTCGACAAAATCAAATTTCGACAAAATCAAATTTCGATAAAATGAAATTTCTGCAAAATTATATTGTGACAAAATGACTCATGAAAAAATGAAAAAGAGCGGTCGGTTATAGTCATGGTTTCGTCCGAAAAATTGATGTTTAGAAAATGTTACACCTTCAAAGAAGCGTTTTTCTGCCAATTTAAACAAGCACGTCTTGTCAACAGAATAAAATCCCAGTATCTGGCCAAAAATCATCCGTTATTCTGAAACTCGCAAATATGGTCCACTTTTTAATATCGATAAAAACGCTTTGAATGCTATACCGTATCCCAGACAGCATAAGAAATCCAGCTAATTGCCCGCTACGCGACGCTCCAAATTTCGGCCTTCATTATCCGCAGGAAAAGCCTGTCATTACTTTGCTTAAAGCCATTATTATGCGTTATTTTGCTAAGAAACCCCGGTACAATGATGTGAGGTTTTTTTCTAGATCAAACAGCAAATGCTAATTAATTGAAGTGAAATTGTTCATTAATTTAGAAGAACTACGGGGCTAAACAATAATAAAAAATTCGTGATCCAGAGTTTGTTTGAAAGATGAAACATTTGTTTTGCAGAAAACCTTACTGGAAATAGCATCCGCTCTTTTTTACCAGCTTATGCAACCAAAAAATTGTGACGATTGCAGAAAATTGCAAAATTCACTTTCTGATATTTTGGAAAAGACGAAACATCTTTTTTTTGCTTTTCGGAATTGACTTTACGGCTAATCGGGGTGGATTAAATTTTTTATGGACTCATTAACATGTAGTTATAGGCTATGTTTACATTGTCAAAGCTTGGGAAGTATGTAGGAAGTAAGTACGCAGACGAAAAACATTCTTTCCGGCTTGGCTTACACATAAAAGTTTTATTTTAAACAAAATTAACGTTTAGGGAATTAGTGCAGCGCTAGTGCTGAAAATACGATAAAGCATTGTTGTAAAATACCAATTGAATCAAAAACCAAACCCCAGCTCTAACAAATTGTCAAACATTGGTGTTTTTCGGATGAAATTAATAAAGGAGTAGACGAATCCACTAGAACGATTGTTTACAAAATGGCGAATTCCTTTTTTAGCGGGAAATTAAAATGTATGAGTTTTTATATCAGCATAATTTGATTATGCATTACATATATGACGATCGAGCGATTAAAAGCAGAACCAGGCGTCCAAGACTTTGAAAAGATGAAACATCATTTTTGAAATGTGCATGCGCAAAACTTTCAAATTTGCGATAATACTCTCTCTCTCTCTCTCTCTCTCTCTCTCTCTTCCTCTCTCTCACTCTCTCTTCCTATCTCTCTCTCACCCTCTCGCACTCTCCGAAATCGAGAGTCCAAAATTAGTACGCCGCGTGCAATTTGATGATGCAGATGATTTCAGGGGCGGATCGAGAGCCGAGAGTGGGCTAATAAACCGGATAGCCATCCGATACCCAACCGGCCCTCCAAATAGGAAACGATCCACGCGAGGACGATCCGTTCCTTGTTCAGACGTGGAATCCGGAATCTCGAATTTTAAGCGGGATTTTGGACTTGCGAATTGCGATATTTATTGAAATTTTGTTTAAAGCAGTTCTTTCTAATTACGCAATTCCTGCGGATTTACATGCTTAATTCCTAGCTGGCGTTTTGGCTTGTAACGGAATTTTTTTTAATTAGAATTTTGCATTATATTTCGTTCAAGAGTTCCTTCAAGTGACCTCAAATCTAATCATTTTCTTCCAAATAAATTTCATTTAACTCAAAGTGCTTAAAATCAAACGTTTCAACATTTTTCGTTCGCCTGTGTTTCTATTGCGAATTAACCGGGTCAGCATTTACGGGGTTTTGATTTTTTATGAAACATTTTTTGAAAATACTGATTTTTCACAGGGTTTATTTGGGCTTTTAAAATTGATAGAGTTATATTTATTTAAATGCTTTAAGCATATTTAACTCTTTTTTCCTCAGCTTTACTGCGCAAAACCATCAATAAATTCCACGGTTCTCGAGCGGCGGTCGCTTCACCCGGGGGGAAAGCGTCCTTGGCCTAATGCCCTGGAAAAAAAAAGGCGCCCCCACCCAATTTTAGCTAGGGTCATCAATTAGCGCGTCGGCCGCTTCACCGATGCGTTTGACCGCAATTTTTCTATATTTTTATCGATTCGAAATCTAGTTTATTTATTAATTATAAAAAAGTGTAAAGTGAAAAAGACCTATTAAAATCTCTTTGGCTATTCTTAAACACTAATTTTGCTGAAACATTTTTTTGGGAAAAATATAATGAACTTTAGCTTTCAAAAACTCTTTGTCCATGCACTCCGTTTGAAATTTATGACCAATTCCGACTGTTTCAAAAATTTTACCTAAAACATTTCCGAAACATTCATTCCTTCCCATCTCAAATTTGGTCTTAGAAAGTTCTAAGGGGACGGGCCAAGGCAGGAATACCTATTTGTCGATTATCGATACCAAATGTAATTTACTGCCGTCTTTACGCAACGCGCGATTTCCCTGCGCGGGTTGAAATTCATTTTGCGGTGAAAATTATCGTCTTGGTGGAATGGGGAGCCTGATGCATAATTAAAATTCCGTAGCGACCCTATTCAAGTAATTTTCGTGAAACATCTTTAAAAAAATCAATTCCTCTGAAAAGATAACAAAATAAAAAAATTATAATGGCTAAGGAATCGACCATTACTGGAAAAACAACGCTTTGCTACTGCCATTTTCATGAAAAATTTTTTCAGAAATCTCCGTTTCTGTTTAGGATCTTTTAAGGGATTTTATTAGGCTTAAAGGTTCAGGAAACGAAAAGACATTCAACGGGGGCAGCGTTTCAAATCATAAATACAATTGTCCAAGCTGCGGGATTTACTGACTTCGGTGCAACTTTTTTTGTAAAATTGGTCTTTAATTTGTTTTGTTTCAAATCTGATTAAAATTAATTTTTAGATTATTTCCAGATTGAAATTGCTTTGATTTTCTGTGTTTTAATAAAGTTCAGATCATTGACTACTTTCACTGAGCAATAGAAATTTTGGGGTTTTCTGAATGGATCAGCCAATTCCGGAGAGGACGATTTGGGTCAATCAGGCTTTCGCACCGCTCCCTCTATCTCTCTCTCGCTCTCTCTCTCTCTCTCTCTCTCTCTCTCTCTCGCTAAAGGAGAAAGCTCCTGACCAGCCGCCCTACCCATCTAAACGACCCCGAAAAATGGCCGATTCCGGGGCGTAGATACGCCCAAACCATTTTTTTAGAAGCCGGAATTGATAACATAAATTATATATTTTTGTTAATTTTAGTTGATTGAAATTACTTATGGTGTTATCCTAACTTGATGTTTTACAGAAGCCAACTTCCACCGATTGCGTTTTAAAACTTCGTCGACACGCCTTAACTATGAGAAACATGTTTCTCAAACCAGGCCTAAATTGATTTTTGCAAAGACAAGATCTTTGGTTTAAACTATCATTTTCTATTTTGTCGTTAGTGTGATGGAAACCGAGAATTCGGCCGATCTTTGAACTGTTCCGTCATTTAACACAGATTCGCTTAAATCCTGTGAATTTTTTCGGTAGTCCATGCTCCCGGTACTGTATTTCATATTTCTGCACAATAGCGTTATAATTATGAAACACAAAAATTCATTTTAGGATGCGGTCTATACTCATTTTACTGCTCTTCAATGCGGCCATAGAGGCGATGCCGCAAAATGTGGAATTATTATACAGTAAGTATGATTATATTACTGTCGCATTTTCCTCAACAATCTCTGCTAGCCTGCCCTCTCCTCTTCCTCAACAATCTCTGCTAGCCTGCCCTCTCCTCTTCCTCAACAATCTCTGCTAGCCTGCCCTCTCCTCTTCCTCAACAATCTCTGCTAGCCTGCCCTCTCCTCTTCCTCAACAATCTCTGCTAGCCTGCCCTCTCCTCTTTCTCAACCATCTCTGCTAGCCTGCCCTCTCCGCTTCCTCAACAATCTCTGCTAGCCTGCCCTCTCCTCTTCCTCAACAATCTCTGCTAGCCTGCCCTCTTCTCTTCCTCATCAATCTCTGCTAGCCTGCCCTCCCCTCTTCCTCAACCATCTCTGCTAGCCTGCCCTCTCCTCTTCCTCAACAATCTCTGCTAGCCAGCCCCTTTCCAGTGATGAGCTCCGAGTGGTCCCAGTGGTCCCCATGGTCGTTCTGTTCCGCTAATGTGCGCGTCCGTGTCCGTGCCTGCAGCACGGTCCGCGGATTCAAATGCATCGGCCATAATAAGGTATATATGAAGTTAGCATTTTTTATACGTTAAAATCAATAGGAAAATCGCGCAAAACCTAAATCAGCCTTTACTAAATAACTGCATGTTGGGTTCTGTTTAAACTAAAAAAGTCCGAATGTTTCGATAACGATAAAGTCCTGAAACACAAATTTTGAACGTTAGCCGAATCATTTTAGAACTGTAAGTTACAGCAGCACATTTAAATTTTTTTGATCCTACTATATATAAAAAAATAGTGTCTGTGTGTGTGTGTGCATTTGCATGCAACTTCCGTCCGTATGTTCCAATCGTATCTCAATAGGTGAGGAAGTTAAGGGTACGTATGATACGTCATTAGGTGCGTAATGGTCATGACTGGACTGCACGGATGTGAGATTTGTAAAAATCAGCTGTTTTCGATATTAAAATTGAGTTTTTGTGAAAATCTCGCTCAGCCTCTTTGTTAGGAATCAATTAGCATGCACCGGAAGTGGGGGCAGCCTATATAATGGGGGAGGGGACGCGTTTTTGATTTTTCTGCACAGGAATTCAGGTGTTTATGCAAAGTGATGGAAGTATTAGGGTAAGACGGGGCCAGGGTTGAAAAGTCGCGAAGCGACTTTTCAACCCTGGTAACGTAATAAAAACGTAGCTCTGTAAAAAAGACTTCCTTAAAACGTCGCGTTAATGCGATAGAGATAATATCCTGAAACATAAAATTCAGCGATCTCAGAATTATTAAGAGGCATTTTACAATCCTACCTTATATAATTTGGTCGCGTATCTTTGTGTGTGTGTGTGGATGTCAGTTTCGAGGCCCGATTTGAGGGCCTTCCCGTGCATAAAATGCCCTAATTCTCCGTCACCCGGGGGAATCGACCCTTCTCTTTCCGATGGCGTTTTCAGAATTTCGATAAAATACAAGTTTACAAAGTTAAAAGCGGTTTTATTGATTTTTGGGGGGTACCAGAAGGCTAATTTGCATAATGCGAAAAAATACAAAATTCCTCATTCTGGCCAGTTGCACTCGTGCGTGTGGTCGGGCGGGGGGGTCCGCAGGACCCGAGCTATCAGAAAGTCAAACTTTTCATGCAAAGGTCGCATTCCAGCGCCCAAGGCCCGCGAAGCGGGTTTTGGGCGCTGGTATTACAATAATCATTTTACGTTAAATTTTTAAGCCTATCCTTAAAAAACTTAGCTATTAAAAACCCGAATAAAAATCTAACAAACCTGCTTTAGGAATTCGAATCGTGCGACACAAATGCACCGACAGAAGCGCCGAAAGCGCCCGATTACGAGGGGTAAGTAATGCTATAATTTAACTTTTTAAAAATCGTATTTTTGGCTTTAAATTTAGCAATTGATTGATTTAATTAAAATATAAAGTAATTTTAAGCTCTAAGTATAAATTTACTCCAGCTTCGACGACCCTTACTCGGAGGACCGAAAAATCGCCATGTCGCAGCTGGCCAACGACCACGAGAAGCAGCCCAAGATTAAGGCGCAGTATCAGAAAGGTGAGGGCGTATTATTAAGCTAATGAAAAAATATTATTTTATTATTTAGATAGAACTGATCTTTTTACCTTTTTTTTACACGGGAACGATTTCGATACAGAATTCTGGGTCTCCAAAAATTTCGAACATGAATTTTTGCTGAATCTCATATTTTGCACGTAAATTTTTTATATTTTTTTTTATTGATTAGGTTGAGTAGTTTTTTGAAGCTCATATTTACTGGGAACTTTCTTATAAATTTTTCTGATTTTTTTTACAAGCTATTAAAAATTTAAATGCTTGGTATTCTATGTTTTTTATGACAAATCAACAAACTAAAAATTCCCATATTCAAAAAAATTTTTAGTGTGAATTCTTATGGCCGTCCGGATTTTTTTAAGCAGTTTTTGCTCCTGTAGTTTTAATACACCGTATTCGAAATCTAACTTTCTAGATTTTTATTAATATGATTTCAACTTTAAGTGGCTAGAGAATTCCACACCTTGAGAAACTTGATGATAAATTTTTGCTGAAACACATAATTTTTCCAAACTACTAATTTTATTTGAAAGTTAAAGTAAACTTTAAATTTTAAATGGCTTCAAATTGTCTTAGGACCAACGTCGCGTATTTAAACCTGCGAATTAAAAAATTTGGCAGCAAGAGCACAGCTTGGATTACTAATTGACGACTGTATTTCTTAGGTATTTTTCCAGAAACACTAATTTCCTAAAAATATTTTTATGTCTTCGACCCAAAGCGTTTAGAAAATATGTGTTCTACAACTTTTAAATGTTTGATTTTAACTTGGCGTTTTAAACTAGTTTTTATGGATGTATTTTAGTCATCAAAACCCGACCCGCAATTCCCACGCCGAAGAAGAACATTCTTCTGGAAAACGGGGCCACCCGGGTGCCATTCGTGGACATGACGGCTGATGTGGAGCCGGCACTTGTAAGATTTAAATTTATGTTTTAAAGTGCCGGGCAAGGATCATGGATTTTATGATCTCCTATACGCGCTCATGTAATTATTGTCAACGTAGAGCTCCGAAACCCGTAATTTTTTCAAAACATTCTTTTGGGAAATGTAAATAAATTAAAATTAAATTAATTATTTAATTCAATTAAAGTAAAATTGAATAATATAAATTAATTTAATTGTGCATCTCGATTTAGCAACCAGTTCCTCGGCCACAGCCACCACCACTCCCAGCTGCTCACTTGAAGGTAAGGAGAGAGAGAGTGAGAGAGAGAGAGAGCGGGAGAGAGTACATAAATTCTGTAATTTTTATTCCCATATTTTTCAATCCAGGGCGAGCCGCAGCCCACGCTCACCGAGCAAGAGGAGACCGAGTTGCTGCGGCGGAATCAGGGTAGGTCAAATTTTCTAGCATTTTTTGTTTCATAAACTTGAAAAAAAGTTTTAAAATTCAATTTGGCGATTTTTGTTTAGTTTACTAATCCTTTTTTAGATGTTTTCAACATTTTTAACACATTTTTATAGCCCGAGGCCCAGTGCGCTACGCGCCAACCCGAATGCCCAATCGGCCCCCTACTGTAGAGGTAGGCTTTTGGATTTACGGATTTTTCTAGCTGTCTGGTTTTTGTTTAATTCACTAGCGTTGTAAAAAATGATCCTGAATTATGTTTCGAAAGTATTTTTCATAAGAAACATCAATATTTAAAACGGATCTATGGGACAGAATTAAGCCTACTAGGCTCCGGAGTGATGTTCTTTTATCGTGAAACATTTTTAAGATTCGTCGAAATATGCATATAGCGGCAAAATATTTTGTTCAAAAAAATTAGCTTCATTTCTAACGACCGAAATATCCTCAGCCGACGTCCCCTGCCTACGCGGAGCAAGAAGGCGAGGAGGGCGAAGGGGAGTACGAGGACGACTACGAGGGACAACCTCCGGGACAGCCGCCGACTTCGAGCAGTACGACAACAACTACAACCACTACCACGACCACTACTACCACAACTACTACGACAACTAGTGCCACTACAACCAGGCCGTCCACGACGCCACGTCCGCAACGACGTAGGTTTGAGCTTAGGCTTGGGCTTAGTTTTAGGCTTAGGCTTCGCTTAGGCTTGGCGGGGCTTAGGCTTAGGCTTAGATTAGGCTTAGTCTTGGGCTTTAGCTTAGGCGTAGGCTTAGGCTTAGGCTTAGGCTTAGGCTTAGGCTTAGGCTTAGGCTTAGGCTTAGGCTTAGGCTTAGGCTTAGGCTTAGGCTTAGATTAGGCTTAGGCTTAGGCTTAGGCTTGGGCTTAGGCTTAGGCTTAGGCTTAGGCTTGGGCTTAGGCTTAGGCTTAGCTTACGTTGAACTAGGCTTAGGCTTACTAGGGAAGTGCAAATAAAAAACCCAACAAACCGCTTAGCAAAAATATGGGTCTGATAGAGTCGGCGACGCGGATTCCGAAACTGCAATCAGAATTTGCTAAACGCTTAATACAAAATAGTTATGAGCATTTTAAGTTTTGCACTACATTCTCCGCCCTCCCTTATGAGCCCCTCCCAAAGATGGGTGTCCGCCTGTCGAGTGGTGTAGTGGCTAACTACCATGCCTCTGGGGCGGAGGGTCTCCGGTTCGACTCCCCGGTCATGCAAAACTTTTTTCTTTTTGGTCAAAGTCAACAACTTTAGACTTTTTCAAAGTTTCGAAGTCCGAAATTTAGATTTTTTAAAATTTTCTTTAGTATTGACTGCGTCTAGGCCTGCCTTACGAAAAAAATATAAGTGAATTTTATTAGTGCCCTATCCGCAAGAGTACTGACACTCCCGCCACCACTTTTCAATCAGTTTCATAAATTTAAAAATTAAGAGAACGACCTTTTCGGCTTCGAATCTTTGAAAAAGTCTAAAGTTGTTGACTTTGACCAAAAAGCAAAAAGTTTTGCATGACGGGGGGAGTCGAACCAGAGACCCTCCGCCCAGAGGCATGGCAGTTAGCCACTACACCACTCGACAGGCGGACACCCATCTTTGGGAGGGGTTCATAAGGGAGGGCGGAGAATGTAGTGCAAAACTTAAAATGCTCATAACTATTTTGTATTAAGCGTTTAGCAAATTCTGATTGCAGTTTCGGAATCCGCGTCGCCGACTCTATCAGACCCATATTTTTGCTAAGCGGTTTGTTGGGTTTTTTATTTGCACTTCCCTAGTTAGGTTAAAAAAAGTTTTTGCAGCCACCCACATCCCGGTCATGAGCCGCGGCGATTTGCAAGAGCTGGACGAGAGGATAGCTTCTTTGGATGATCGTGGTAATGCTACACAATTTTTATAACGTAGAAAAAATCGATATTTAAAAACAACCAAAAAATATAAATTATCGCAAGCAGTTGATTAAGCTAATTTAGACGACGAAATCCCGCAACTACGCCACAATTCCAACGCCGCTGCGGCATTCGTGCGAACGGTATGTTTCAAGTTGTTTATGCTCGCCGATGAAAATCAGCCATTTAATACAGGATTCAAATCTTGGCTTCAACAGGTTTCAAGCAAAATTGCGCTTACTTGGAGAACATTATTAAAATACTATATTTATTAACAAAAAAACATAGTAATTTATGAAGCTCCATTTTCCAAATTTAAAATCAACTAAAAAGCTTGGGGTTTTAGACTTTTTAACCTTAGTTAATGATTATAGAAATTTTATCTAGTAAATTGTCATGTTTCACATTTTTTAAACTATTTGCAGTTCCACCACTCTGTCGCCCCGGCCGCCAAGCCGACGTATCACACCCAATTTGTTGGCTCTCAGTATCGGTTAGTAGAACTTTTACTACCACGAGAATTTGAATCTTCATGTTTCAGAATTTAAGTGGCTTTTCAAACCATTTCGCAGTCGTTGTACACCCGGCTCTTAGAAGGAAAAATGATTGATTCGCTCATTAGCTTTCAGTATGGAACCCGAAAATTGAGCATTTTTGAAGCATTTTTAAGGTTGTGAAATCTATCGTCGATGTTAGGGTTAGAATCACCGTCTATGCTAGAATTTTTAAGAGGGTTTAAATTCGTTTCAATTCAGTTATGATGGTGATTTGATACGGTAGATATTTCTCGATTGTTTTCCTTTTTAGAAAACCATCCGTTCCGCTCCAAAGACGGTCTTCAACTTTGTGCCGCCGGTTGGGAACGACGCTGGCGGTGCGGTGAGTTTTTCTGATTTGGTAAAAAATGAGTTTCGGCAAAAACACTAGCCGCGAAAAATATATGAAGTTCAATAAGAAGTAGTTCCATTCGGAATAGTCAGGTGAAGTTATTTAAACCATTTAATGTGACAATGTTCCTGCAAAACTAAACTTTACCATAAAAAACGCTTACTGTAAAAAAATTTTTTACAGTAATTTACCTATTTTATATAATTTTTTTACAGTAATTTACCTATTTCTCAAGTCTAGAAACAACGCGGCGTCGTTTCGGTGATGCTGACGCGGCGGGAGCCCGGGAAAACGGTACGACTATTAAATTTTTATCGTGTTTAATAATCTTACAAAGGCACTAGAAAAGATGTTTCGATTTTGCAAGTGATTGTAACAAAATACCCTACATTATTATTAGTTCACAGTCATCGCGGCGCAAAAAAATGTAAAAAATGAAATGGAAACCTAGTATCTAATCGATTTCTGCAGAATCTTCTAATCTAATCCACTTAATTTGGGGGTATGAGGTATACGGTAGGGCGTTTAAAACACGCTTCTGGATCCGTTTCGATTTTTCGTAAAAATAAAATGTTTCAATTTTGCAAATTAGCATCTTAATCGGTTTTTTGTTAATAATTCTTTGGTTTTTGCCCTGCGATTTTTATTAAAATTATTTAATTTTTAAAAAAATATTTATTAAATTAGGTCGTTTAGTCGATTTTACATCGCAACGAGTTAAAAAACGGTGGGGATTTTAATTCCTGGCGACTAAAATGAAACGTTTCCGTTTTTCGAGTTATCGTGAAAATAATTTTAGTGTTATTAATGCTTTGGATTCATGGTCACAAAATTTATTGAAAATCAGGTGTAGTTTTAGTTTTTTTGGGCTTAGGCGCAGGGGCGTAGCCAGAAAAAAAATTTCGGGGGGGGGGGCCCCCAAAAAAATGTTCCAAAAAACTCAAAAGATGAACGAGAAAACAGCGCCGCAGGCAAAAATTTTTGAAAAAGAGGTTACATGGCTCTACAAATAGCCGTAAAAACGTGAAAAAATAGCGCCGCAGGCAGCAAAATTTTTGAGAAAATGAAAATCATAAGGGTCCCCCCTTATGAAATTTTCGGGCCCCGGCCGATTTCGGGGGGGGCCCCGGGCCCCCGGGGCCGGTATTACGCTACGTCCCTGCTTAGGCGTATGCTTCCCTATCTTCATTACCTTTGTTTATTCGATTCTAATAGGAAACCGAGGATGAAACACCAGTTTTATCTGACGCCGGTGCCCGCTCCATCAACCACACGATGCACAAAATCGGTGGACTGTTGCAGCAGATGGAATATGACGCTAAGGTAAATAATTTGTTGAGATAGGATTATAACGAAAGTTGATCGATACTTTAAATTTGTAACTATATTTATTTCTTTATTGCTTTAATTATATTTCTTAACATGTAATCCATTTTCGAAACACATTTTTAGATGCTCACAACGATATAAATATAAATTAATTACAGAAAATGCAGCGCCAGGACTCGTGGGAGAGCCCCGACCTGGAGAATATGAGCCCGCACGAGAGGCGCATTTACATGGAAACCCGGACGTTGGAGGAGAAGCTGAAGCTGGTCCAGAAACAGGTAGATTTAGACAAACTTAATTAAATGATAGGTAGTTTATTTCATTAATTTACTAATTTTGTCAAATAGAATTTTCAAGTTTTTTTAGATGGTTTTCGAGCCGAAATATCGTTAAATTTTATTAAAAATCCTATTCAAACGCATACTAGTTCTTTCTGGTCGAAAATTAGCCCCCCGATAATGCCAAAGAACCAATGAATACATTTTTCATTTAACAATTTAAATTTAATCGCTCAGATTTATTATATTGTCAGATTTATTCATAAAAAGTAGCTGCATAAAAAAAGAAAGACGTGAAAAAGTGCATGTTTCATCTCACCCAGACGATCAAAATTTTTTGCTTTGAAATAATGGGCAAGAGGCTATTGCTTTAGAACTAGTATCATAGGATTGAGTTTACCATTAAATCCTAAGATTGTAAAATCTAAACTTAAAATATGAAAGTATAGAGAATAGATACATATATAAAAAATAAATAATAGAGAATAGATACAGCGCCGTGCTCTTAATGTTTTACCGGTTTATTTAATTTTTAAATTCAACCAGGGTTGAAAAGCCGCTTCGCGACTTTTCAACCCTGGCCCCGTCTGATCCGATGATATTCTGTACTTTGCATATTTTTCACAAATCACCCATGCCGAAAAATGAAAAACATCCCCTTCTGTCCCTTTATATAGGCTTTCGCCACTTCCGGCGCATGCAAATTGCTTCCTAACAAAGGGGGAGGACCCGGATTTTCATAAAAACGTAATTTTAATGTCGAAAATAGCACTTTTTGTAAAATCTGATATGTGTGCAGTCGTGTCATGACCATTACGCACCTTTTGGCGTATCAAACATACCCTTAACTTCCTCCCCTATCGAGGTACGACTGGAACATAATGACGGAAGTTGCATGCAAAGTGGCACACACACACACACACACACAAACACTATTTTTTTATATATAGTAGGATAATAACGAAAGAAGCTATAGAAAAGCTTGCTAAAGGAAAGCAAAGTACTCCCCAAACTTCCTGGAGTGTTTTATGCCCTTTCTGACGATTTTTCAACTAAAGACCGTCCCGAAAACCTCTTTCCGCTCATAGTCAGAACATGGCTGTCTTCTATCCAATCAACCTCAAATTTTTACCATCGATGGGGATGGCTAAAAACTATGTATATAAAAACTTCTGGCCAAAAATATCGTCAATTAGAAAAGTTATGGCTATAAAACTGTTTTTTTTTTGAAACCCAGTCGGGGTTTTGGGGGCCCTTACGCGATGGAAAACGTGCATGGTATCGCCCCGTCGGTCCCTCACCCCTGGGGCCGCCCGGCCATGTTTCCAAGGGTCTTTAAAGACATTAAATTTTTCAGATGCACAAGCCTACCGACGATGAGGCGCTGCAGAAGGGCGTCGATAGTGGGGTAACGTTTTTCGATAATAAAAATAAAATGGTGAATAAGTAAAAATGTAAAAATAATCAATATATACATGTGTATAACAAAAATAGCCAAACTATAAATATTAAAGCGAATTCGAAGGTCCATCGGTCACTTCCGCGTAATAGCTTGTTTTCAATTTTTTCGATTTTGTTAAAATTTGAAACGTTTTATTTTTTAGCCATTCGTGGAGGGAGACACGGCTCGCGCCCTCTCGTGGATGATCGCGAATATGACGCGGGAATTGAGCGGACACGAGCTGCCGATTGTCGACATTATTCCGTTGGAGGTAGATCTTACTGTATTAACGATACCTTTACTAATAGGATTCTTTTAATTTTAAAAGCTTCACCAATTCGGAAAAGGACATGATAGAACGTAATTAAGCGTTTATTTACAACGCTTTTTTAAAAAAGTCTGTTACATTAAAATTTAAAACAGGGCATTTTTAGGCATATTACTGGGCGATCATTTACGACCGATATCTAATTTTTACATGAATTTTTCCACACCCTTAATAATTTGCATGTTGAGTAGGTCCCCAAAAATTGGCTTTAAAAACATAAAACAAAAGTAAAATGAAGCCAGCAATTTTTTAATATTTAGGTGGTAAAAGACGATAAGAAGGATAAGCCACCGACGGCCGTGCGTAAGCCCGACTCGAAAAAGGTAGAAAATCTCATTAGAAACTATACAGGGTGTCCAAACCCCCCCCACCTAGCGGTCCGCAGAATTCCGATTTTTACGATTTAGGTATCTATCGAAAGCTCTCGACAAGGCGAGTAAACAAGGAGGGTTCATTTTCATTATTATGCATTTTTATTCGCTAATTTTAGGTCCAAAAATCATGAAAACCGCTGATTTATGCAGGATCTGCAGGCTAATTGAGAAATTCCTGTTGAAAAATTACCGGTTTTTTAGAAAAACCCCAAATATCGATGGAACAAGATTTAATCTTAGAAAACGAAACCCTCCTTATTTTCTCGCCTTTTCGAGAGCTTTCGATAGGTAGCTAAATCATAAAAATCGGAATCGGCTGCGGACCGCTAGGTAGGGGGGGGGGGTTTGGGACACCCTGTATATTAAAAGAAACTTATCTTTACCCTTTTTCAACCTTTAACATACCGTATTCAAGATCGTGTCCGATACCGTAAACGTCGAGTTCGTCTCGCCGCAGCGAATCGACGCCCAGATTTTCAACAACCCGCCAAACAGTCGCGTTGAAAAAGTGAGTTTCAGAAAAATTTAAAAAATGGGACATTCATTTTTTGAAAGTTTGTTGGGAAAATGAAACAATAAGGAACCATCACAATGATTTTGTTACCGAAACAATATATATTCAAGACGCGCATTAAGGTTCCAGATATCACTGAAAATCACCCTATTATAATGCTTTTTCCAGGCCTTCGGCAGCAGAACATCACTCTCCGATGCCCCGCTCGACCTGAAAGAAATGGTAATCTTCCCAAATTTTGCGCATTTTTGTTTTTTAATATTATTAAGCAATCAACTTTATGATTCTATAAAATCCGCTATAATTAATATGGAATAAAAGATCGGCTATATGCTAATTTTGTTATTTTTAGGAGCACGCCGCCGAGAAACTCGACAGCCTCATAGGGGACGACACAAAAGTGAGCATCACCTTTTGCGTTTTGTGGATCTGAGATTTTTTTGTAGTAATATAATTACAACAATTATATTTATCATCGGAAAATAGTTTGAAACCCTGAAAATAACTTTAACAAATAAGAACAAATTTAATGTTTCATCAATTCATCAGGATCTCTGAAATTCCAGCACGTCAACCGCTGGGCCCCGCCCACCGAATCGAACGATGAGCAGCAGGGTGTTATAAGTAAGGACGTAATTTTAATACTTTCTTAATTATATAAAAGATACTTTTAATATAATTAAAAATAAATTTATTTAAAGAGATAGGGGCGGCATAAGTCAATCGATTACGCGAGGGAAAGAAAATGTCTCTGCGCCTCTCCTCTGGGAGCCCTCTCTCGCGCGAGATCGCCGCGGGACCTGTTGAACCTCCCCTCCCCAAGGGGGGTTCAACAGATGCCGTCCTCATCTCTTTAAATTGGTTTCATGATTTTTGTATAATAATAGAACACAACCGCTCCATATTAACTGGCGAAGAGGCTGCGAGTAGTTTCAATAACTTGAAACATTTCGTTTCTTTGCAGTCAAATGGAAGTGGAGCCGATGGTCCGATTGGTCGCGGTGCGATTGCGGAATGCAGAAGCGGAAACGGTACTTAATATACCAAAAATGAAAATTCAGAATATACGTAGAGGCAGAACTAAAAAACTTAGTGGGAACGTGCTAGGACGCAAATTGGTACTGGGCTGTTAGCGGGGGGCAATCGATTTTTTCATGAATCCAGAGTACATCCCTCACGAATTTATTTTAGCATTTTACAAAGGCATGAGATACAAAAATATGATAAATAAGCATAAAAGTTTTCGGGAAAAATTCGAAATTTGTTTTTATAGTTACTTCATTTTTTACAAAAATTAGATTGTCGAAATCTTTGAAAAAAAAGTGAGCTGGTTTGAATCGAAAAAGAAAGAAGATAAGCTTATCCTGGGACAAATTTCTGAGGGAACTAGGGTGTGGATTGAAACATGTTTTTTTGCGAGATGATTCTGAGATATCGCAATTTTTCAGCGTTTGTATCCCGAAGCGAAGCCGGCGGCCGTCGGATATCTTTGAGGCAAATGGCGAAATGCGGAGGTATGTTAAAAATTGTAATACACACGTATTAATAGAAATGGATTGTCAATCAATGGCTGAAAAAAGTCAAATTTGATTTAAACCCTAGTAAAAACTGCTATTTCCAAAGGCAATGGGTTAAAATCTCGTGTTTCAACTATTTTATTGTGCTTCCAAGCTTTCTAGATCTGAATAAAGTCTGTAAGCGAGACAATTTGTTACTAAATGATCACTAGCTGTATTTAATTCAAAATTGGACCGGATTAAAGCCACGAAGTTTAAGATAGTTTATTTTTTCCGGTGATTTTGCCTTAAATATTGAACGAAACATATTCTAAGCAACTAGCCTTTGCTTTTTCTGTGTTTTAGCATGTTTAGCAACATTATTTGTATTTAATCAGCCTTAATTAAAATTAGGCTAAATTATTGCAGGTAAATTTAAAAACAATCGATTTTAACTATGTCAGAATTGTATTGCTCATGGTTACCCAACAGTCTACTTCATGCTAAATTATTGACGAAACATATGGTCGAAAATACGCTTTTTTGTATTTCTAGTATGTTTAGCGTCATTAATTATTATATTGAATCATCCTTACAATTTTAAGCTGTTGGACGATTCGTAAATTACAAAGACATTTATTTTAGTTTTTAGCTAAAACATAATTTTTTTAGTGATGCGCACCGCCCATCGTCCTGTGATGACGAAATAAAACAGCACCAGGAGCGCCTTTGCCAAGACTTAACTTGTCAATAATCATACAAACACGTTTAATTTTTTGTTTTTAAATTTATATGTTCCGAAAATGTTCCTTATTCTTGGATTAAATAAGAACAAGAATGTGTCTGTTGAGTACTTCTCGCCATTCCCCTCGCCCGTGATCTTTCACCGTCTAACTACGTTATTCCATTTGTTTTTCGTTAATTATACGTTTTGCTGAATTTCCATTGGTGCTATGTGATATTATATGTGCTCAGGATTTTTTATTGTTTTCACTCTTATTTTTATCTTTTTTATTCGATTTTTCATCGTGTTTTCAAGGCTTCAAAATGAGGTTGTGCTCCAAATCGTGCGAATAAATTAATATTATAAAAACGCCACGGGATCAATTTTTGGGCTTGAAAAACGCAAAACACAGCTCCGAAAAATTTGGATATCTTTACGAATATGTCGAAAAACAATGTTTCATAGCGCCTTAAAAACTGGAAAATTGGAAAAAATTAATCCAGTTTGTGATCGTCTGCGTGATTGTTGTAAAAAGTATTTTCTCGAAATTTTCTACGGAATAAACCAAATGTTTCAAAAAAATATGTAAAAAAGAAAATGATTTTTCTAGTCCTTCTCTGCTGGAATCGTTTCTAGTTTCCAGTCGCCCAAAGATCGGCAGGAGCAAGAAGAAAAAAGTGCGCTCAACTCGTCAGTTTCGCGCCCCCGTTATCAGCCCCCAGCTGGCCGTTGGGGTGAAGCGGATTTAGATAAAATCCGATGAGAAATCCGGGCTTCAGAGCTTCTGTTTTGCCCCAGAAATTCCATACTTTCCGCTCGACACCTGTTGACACCACGCGGAATGCTGGTTTTCCTCGGGATTCTTGGATTATTCGCGGTGTCGCTAGCCGATCCGACCCCCGACCCGTGGGGAGTGTACGGTGAGGTGGGCGTGGCTTTTAGTTAATTTTTATGATTTAAAAAGCGTAATTGAAGATATACTGAAGAGAGAGAAAGAGAGAGAGTGAGAGAGAGATAGAAGGTGAGAGAGAGCGTGAGTGAGAGTGAGTGAGTGAGTGAGTGAGAGAGAGTCGGTGAGAGCGAGGGGAGTGGGAGAGAGAATCAGAGAGAGAGCGTGAGTGGGAGAGTGATTGAGTCAGTGAGAGAGAGAGAGAGTCGGTGAGAGAGAATCTTGAATCTGCGTGGAAACGTCTGATTAATTTGCTAAAATTATGAAGGAGACTTGTTTGATAGTGAAACATATTTTTTTCAAACGAGATCTCTAGGCGACCGCGTTAAAAGGTTCTGGAAGCTCATTAAACTCAAAATCTAATTGTTCACTGAAACTTCTTTTACACAATTTTGGCGGAATTTACAGTTCAACGGTCGTTCGACATCGGATTAATTTGGGAAAAGTCCAAAATGCAGACACCCAAAACGCAGAATGCTAAAACGCAGACAGCCAAAACGCAGACAGCCAAAACGCAGACACTGAATATGCTGACCCCACTGAACATGCAGACACCGGATTCACCTAATTGATTAGGGATCTGATTCCCACGAAAAAAAACTATGAAAGACCCGCAATAAAGTTATGCTTGTTACATCTCAGTCAAAGTCCCTCTAGTAGCCCCCAAAAATGATCTTCGCCTGTGATTGTGTCAGCAGTTGTATTTCCGATGGGAAGAATAAAGTGTTAAGTTATGAGATGGTTTTGGCTGTTTGCATGTTCGGTGGGGTCAGCATATTCAGTGTCTGCGTTTTGGTGTCTGCGTTTTGAATTTCGGTGTTCCGGCTGGAATTCGATTAATTTGATCATCTTGTTACAGAAATTGGCTTAATACTGAAACATACTCTTTTCCAATCCTGATCGGGGAAACTACGTATCAACGTGGTAGAAATTTGTTAAAATTGGTTAAAACTCATTATGCTATGCAAATCGAGGGCGTAATTGGTGCGTTTGATGCACTAGAACCATTTTATTAACCTACTCATGCTCTAAATAGAATTTCTTCAATATTAAAACACACTTTCTATTTGTCTATTATTTTGACTTTGCTTGGATTTTAAACTCATGCAGTGATTACAGTTGCACAAAAAAAAGTTATATGAATTCTGTCATCTAATGAAGATGACTTCATAAATCGTAAAACATTTTTTTGTAATAGATTCTAAGGAAACAGCACAACAAGGCTAGGAGAAATCAATAAATTCAGGTATGCATGGCAAACACACCCGGCGTGTACGACCCGGCCGACTCGCAGACCGTTCCCTGGTATACGGTAAATTTGGATGAGGACCCGAAGACGCGATGGGCACTCGTGGCTCGATCGAGGGCACAGGGGGTTAGATACCTTCCGAGTACCTTTAAAGTATGATTCTTTAGATTCTGGATACCCTGGAGACTGTCCATCAATTCATCGGGGAGCACGGACTTCTTGGAGAGATGGGAGAACTGCTTTGGCAGATCTTGCTCAACTCCATGGATGACGCCGTTTTCCACTTGCCCGAGCCTTATCGCTCTGAAATACTGGTAAGGAATTTCTCAACAATCTCTGCTATCCTGCCCTCTCCTCTTCCTCAACAATCTCTGCTAGCCTGCCCTCTCCTCTTCCTCAACAATCTCTGCTAGCCTGCCCTCTCCTCTTCCTCAACAATCTCTGCTAGCCTGCCCTCTCCTCTTCCTCAACAATCTCTGCTAGCCTGCCCTCTCCTCTTCCTCAACAATCTCTGCTAGCCTGCCCTCTCCTCTTCCTCAACAATCTCTGCTAGCCTGCCCTCTCCTCTTCCTCAACAATCTCTGCTAGCCTGCCCTCTCCTCTTCCTCAACAATCTCTGCTAGCCTGCCCTCTCCTCTTCCTCAACAATCTCTGCTAGCCTGCCCTCTCCTCTTCCTCAACAATCTCTGCTAGCCTGCCCTCTCCTCTTCCTCAACAATCTCTGCTAGCCTGCCCTCTCCTCTTCCTCAACAATCTCTGCTAGCCTGCCCTCTCCTCTTCCTCAACAATCTCTGCTAGCCTACCCTCTCCTCTTCCTCAACAATCTCTGCTAGCCTGCCCTCTCCTCTTCCTCAACAATCTCTGCTAGCCTGCCCTCTCCTCTTCCTCAACAATCACTGCTAGCCTGCCTATTTCAGGGTTTCGCCGACGCGGCCAACATCCCGGTCTCCAAGCTTGTGCTGCTCAACTTGTTCTACGAGATCTCGAAAGGCTGCACCTCCATCGTTGCCGAGGATCCGAACGGAAAAATTTATCATGCCAGGTAACACCGGTAACGTAAACCCATTAATGAAAAGCAAAATTGTCGTATCCAGGACCATTTTTGAAACATTTTTCTTTTCAGAAACCAAGATTTCGGCACGTTCTTCATCTGGAACACCACGCTGGAGACGTGGCAGCAGACGATCGCGCTCAAGGTATGGGGAACGGAGCTTGTAGAGAAGCATTAGCTTTGATGATTTTGGAATTTTCATGGCGTTTTCCTGAAACATTGAATTTCACAGCAGATTTACCTAAAATGATTTGTTAGTCATTATTTTTTATTTTTAGCGAGTTCTGCGCTTGCTAAATAAACGTAAACAACATAAGATAATCAGAACTTTTAGATTTTTAAGAAACGTCATTATTTTTAAGAACCGCAGAGAGTTTCGGAAGAATAACCAAAAATTAATTGATAGAAAAAAAATTGATTTCGCATTAAACGAGCCTCATTTTGCTTGTATTCTGAAACATAGCATCGAATTTAAGAAAAATCGGATTTTTCTTTTTTTTTATCTATGATCTAGCTGGTGTCATTCTTTTATTCGTAAAAACCCAAACTTCGAAAGTTTTTCAGAACATCCTGATCAACGTCAACTACATCCGGGGTGGGAAAACGGTGTACAAGGGCGTCACCTTTGCCGGCCACATGGGCGTCTTAACCGGTGGGTTCAGCACTTTAATATTTTTATTAATCAAAAAATAAGCCATAATCAATGCCAGCCCTTTTTGCATGTAATTTTTTTATAGTTTTTTCTGAAATTTCCAGAGGATACAAATCTTCAACGCTCACCGAACTATCCAGCCTATTATTAATTTGTCTCATGTTTCGTTAATTTGAAATATTTCCGAAACACATCTATTTTACATTCATGCTTTTGAAAACATATGGTGAGAATTCCGGGCAAAATATTGACACCCAAAATGCCGACAGGTATGATCCGGACAAGCCAAAATCCCGATAGATAAAATACCGACATCCAGAATCCCGACCTATTCGTGATATTAGTTTTAATGCCGCTTTCTTTTATTTTTTATTATTGATTTCCCGAAATTTTTATGCAACATTTAATTTCAAACCCAGTTTTTTGGCAGTTACTTTAAAAAACTTTAATAATTGTCTTGGGAATTAAAATGCATTTTCCAGGAATGAAGCCGCACGCGTTCACGATCTCCACCAACTCTCGGGCCGGAAAATCTTGGGACAACCTGGCCGCCTGGTTCGCTGGGGTAGGGTTTTGCGAAAAAATGTTTTGCAGTTTTGCGACGACACATTTAATAGGTAAAATGTAATGTGAGGAGCTTTGCGAGTTTAAAAAACGCAGAAAATTGCCGAAATTCTGCAATGTAAAATTGTAAATTGTGGTAAGCAAATCCATTTTAAAAAATTTTTACCTTCAGGCATTCCATTATTTTTATCTAATTCTTTTAAATTATTTTATAAATCGTTATTTATTAATTCTCTTTAAACAATTTAGCAAGCGAACGAGCGCATCGAGCTGATCTGGGCCGACCGCCAGGTCCTCGAGGTGGCCAACAGCTTCGATGAGGTGCGGTGATTTTTCCTTTTTTTTTGGTTATCCTAAGCCTTCTGTCGCTCTTGCTTAAAAAATCGAATAATTATACTATTACGAAATGTTTTACTAAGTTTTATATATGCATTTTTAGCATTTTTCCCACGTTTAAAATCACGGGGATTACTAACTAATGTAAGGTTAAAAAATTCCGGCAACTTGAATTTTTTATGAAACACATAAATATCTTGTATATGTCTTGGTTTTATATTTTGGATTTAATATTAGCTTTTTTATAGGCGATCGACTACCTCTCCACGGTACCCCTCTTCGCCAGCGGCTACTTCATCGTGGGCGGGCGGAAGAGCGGCGAGGGCGCCATTATTACCCGTGGCCCGAATGGAACCGACCATATTGAGGTGAGTGGTATCTGTTAAGAGAGTTTTGCTATCTCTAGGTTCCTTAAGATTTAGAATACGTCTTGAATTTATTTCAGAGCGTTTGCTAAGGAGTGCTGGACTAGAGAAATTAAAATAATCTCTTCAGAACACTGGAGCGAAACATATTTTTAAGCGGATTTGCTCCGGTTACTGCATAAAAATTTCTGGCATTTTTTCAGAGTTAGTTCATATTTAAATTAACGTTATAGCCACTAAAATAATTGATTTATCTCTAGTTTTTTAACATTCAGAAAAGTGAATTGATTTTGGAAACCTGCTAGTACCGTGAATTAAAAAATCTCCCAAAAATTTCCCAAACATTGGGGCGAAACACATTTTTTAAAGCAGTTTTCGTTTCGGTTGAGTGTATAAATTAGTTTTTCATGATTAGTTGGCACTAAATGAACGCTACAGCCAATTAAGGATAAACAAAGGCCGGTTGTTTTAAACTAAGGTACCCTCGTATATTCCAGCGCATCGACACGTCAAAGCCGGACGGGTGGTACGTGCTGGAGACGAACTACGATTGGGTGGGTATCGAAGTTATTTATTTACTTTTATTACTTACTTACTAACACTTCTAGATTTCGTTGAAAATATTGAATTATTGAAAATAAAAAACCACATTGAACGTTTGATACCTTTTTTAGAATGATTAATGGACTAAACTCAAAATTTACTAAAAAATTATCGTAAAAAATCATAAAGCTAAAAATTAGACACTTTGTAGATAAATGAATTATCAATATTTGCCTATAGCATTAACTATACCTTTATTTATTTAGGACAAGGTTGAATTCTACCTGGACTCCCGGATCGGGCCCGGCAATGACTGTATGAAGCGGCTGACCAGGGCAAATGTTGGGTTGGAGGGGCTTTATCAGGTAAAAAATAAAATAAGGCTAGATGTACCATTAAACCATTAGTTGTCAATGTTAAACAACTAAAAATGTTGCCAAAACGAATTAGCGGCGCGGAAATTGTGCTGAAAAATGTTGCAAAAACGCATAGATCACGAGCGCCTCGACGCCGAACATTTTGTATTCTGCATTTTTCGTCATAATTTTTCGAATTTAAACAGCGGTAATTTGATCTCTAACAAAATAAAATATAAAAAACAAAAGAAATAAAACATAAAATGAAGCTACATGCAAAACAAATAAACATGTTGTCGAAACGAATTAGCGGCGGCGGAAATTGTACTGCAACTAATGAAAAAAATGTTTCAAAAACGCATAGATCACGGGCGCCTCGATCACAAATATTCATAAGTTGCTTTTCTGCAAGATTTTTCTAATTTGGATCTAGTGACAAATTCACTAATACTAATATAGAAGATCTAATAAAATAGCATCTCATCGCATTTAGCAACCTATGTAAATTAACTTAGAAATCGCCAAGATAGATCCAGAAAATGCAAAAAATTTTTGAGACTAAATGTTGCAAAAAAATTTTAAAAAAAATTAAAAAAAATTAAATTAAATTAAAAAGTCAAAAAACTTTTATAGACTCAAATAAAAATATTTCATGAATCGGAGCTGTTATTCCCATAAAATCTGGGCAGGAATCTCGGATTTCCATTATCATAAGCGGTGTCAAATCATTTTAGGCTTAAAAGTTTCCAAAATTGGGCTTGAAAGCCTATCGCCTAAAATCTTAGGCTTAAGCCTCCACATCCGCTTTTTCAGGTGCTGAGCAGCAAGCCGAACCTGAACAAGGCCACCGTCTACACCAGCGTCATGCAGGTATCCCTTTGGCAAAAATTGGGAATATGACTCCGCTAACTATGGCAATTCGATTAAAGCACTTGCTTCGCTCGGCAAGTGCTGATATTTTGAAACACTTGGCAAAAATTAAAATTTTACAAAAAATTGTCGAACTATTGTATCGCCCTGCCTTCGAAATTTCCCGTTTTTAGATATTGTAAAGTGGACAACATCTAAAATTTTATTTTGACTGGTTCTAGCCAAAACTGAGAATCTGACTCGGCGTACGACTTTAGCTCTCCATATTAATGCGTTCAGTTCGCTCGGAAAAAAGCTGATATTTTGAAATACATGAAAATATCGCGAAAAGCCAGTTTAAAGAAAAATCATGTATTTTACAAAATAGTAATTCTGTTTCAATACTCTGGATATTGCATGTGATATTAAAATGTGCGAAGCCTTGAAAATTGTCGTTATTTTAACACGAAACGAAGAATATGACTCCGCTAAGGAGTTATGGCTTTTCTATTAAAGAACTATCTTCGCCCGGAATCTGGTTATACTGTGAAACACTTTTCCGTCTAGCCAGAAAATTAAGATTTTACAAAAAATTGTCGGACCAATGCATTGCCTTGCTTTTGAAATTTCTCCTTTTTAGCTATTATACAGTGGGCATCATTTAAAATTTTTGATTGGTTTAGGCGAAAACGGGATATGACTCCGCTAAGGAGTTATGACATTCTAATTAAGGCGCTTCTTTGGCTAGGAAAGTGCCGAGAATTTGAAACAAATGAGCATAACGCCAGGTAGATCTCAAGGAAAATAATGAATTGTATAAAATAGTAATTCTATTTTAATACTTCCTATATTTCGACTTTGCGAATTTATAAAGTGGCAACCCTGAGAATTTGAATAAGTTTATCCGAGAAATAAGAAAATGACTCCGCTAAGGAGTTATGCTTCTCCCATTCAAGCGATTCGTTCGTTCCGACAGTGCTGAGATATTGAAACATATGGAGCCCAACGCAAAAATTAAGATTTTACAAAAATTCGACTCTTTATCTCAATGCTCATCATATTTTTAATTTTTAGGCATTAGAACATGTGTAGGTTTTGAAACGGTTTTGCAAATAATTGAGAATATGACTCCGCTAAGGAGTTATGCTTCATCCACTAACACTATTTCTTTCATTGGGAAGTCTTGAACATTTGAAACACTTGTCCCGCTAGCCAAAAATACAGATTGTACAAAAAAAAATTGCAGATCGTTTGATTTTAAATGATTTTAGGATCCTCTTAATTTTTATATATTGTAAAATGCAAAGTTTTTAAGATGCTTTTGCAAAAATGAGAATATGACTCCGCTAAGGAGTTATGCTTCCTAGATTAAAGCGCTGGTTTCGCTCGGCAAGTGCTGAGAATTTGAAACATATTTATACTACATTGTATTTTCAGAAAATGGAAATATGACCAGTCGGAAATTGTTGATAATTTGAAACACATCCCCAAAAAAATTGTTTAACGAAAAATTTTTCGAATACTTTATTACGATGCTTTTCGAACACTCTTCATTTTTAGATATCATAAAATGAATAGTTTTGAAAATGGTTTCGCACAAACCAAGAATATGACTCCGCTAAGGAGTTATGCTTCGACCACTAACACTGTTTTTTTTGTCGGAAAGAGTTGCTATTTTGAAACACTTGTCCACCTAGCCAAAACCCAGATTTTGAAAAAAATTTTGCGAATCCTTTGATTTCAATTCCACAATGCGCTAAAAAATCTGATTCGCGGCTGGGGACACCTGAACAAAGCGTAATACGATGTATATTTGCCTTCAACGTTCCTTTAAAAAACACCCTTTTTTCAGGTGGACGACCTCGCGTTCCAGTCGTTTATCCGCGACTGCCCCAACCCCTGCTGGTTCGTGTAGGCCACCGAAAGCGGAAGCCTGTGAATAAATTTGCATCTTTTTAGAAAAATACACAGGATAGTAAAAAATTTATGTAACAGGTGGGTTATAATGCCACCATGGGATGTTTTCTATATCAGTAAATTTTGAAACATTTGTTTCTAAGCGCACGATTTCCAGCTTTTGATAAAGTTTGATTCGAATTGGAATTGAAGGAATTAGAATTTTAAATACTGTAGTTTTGATAATGCTCGAATTTGAAAACCGTTGTGGGATACATTTTTCCCAGTTCAATCGTCTTATTTTGGATACGTGGTTTATCTTATCTTTGAAATTGAATGCGGCAGCTTGGGGTATGGTAATTATCAGAGTGATCATTTTCTTTTTATATTGTAGAGTTGAAACGCTTTATTTTTCCGGTCGCACATTCAGCCGGAACGTCTCTTCGGTCTGGGCGGTGTCCACGTTTTGGATGTAGATTAGGGCCTGGAAAAATTGATTAAAATCGATAGCTCATCAATATCTTTTAACCTTCACTCGGTCTTAAATATAAGCCCTTAACTAATGCTAAGTTCGAATGGTTTAAGTTAATGAAAGTAAAAAAGTAAGACATAAAAGCTTACGAAAATATGTGGTTCCCGCAAATTAAGGAAACTTGTGGGTTTTGGTGAGGATAATCAATCAACATTATGAATTGGATTTTAACTCTAAATGAAAAATACAAAAAATTATACAAAATTAGTATTATAAACCAAATTAAATGCTTGCAATCTTGAAAAATAAATTTAGAATAGAAAAAATAGAGGTAAACCGGGGAATCTCGACGATATACTTCAAAATAATAAAAAATATGTTTCCCAAAAAGCAGGTATTGCCCGTTCTTCTTGCCGGGGCACTATTGGATGATACAAATTTTAAACCTACCGTATACACGTCGCGCCGGCAAAATTCCAGCGTCAGCGTGGCGATCCCGTTTGGCGGAAGTTTTAGCAGCTAAAAGGTAAAATAATGTGCTAATTTAATTTATCAATAATTTAAATAATTTTTTTAATAATCCTAAATAGCTAGATAATAATTTCATTTTTCTAATATAATATATAAAAATAAAAATAATATATTATAAAAACGGAGTTCATATCGATACATAAGTTTTTAAACATTTTTATCAAATTATTGAACAAATTGATGCTCCATGGACATTGATGGCAAAGCGAACAGCGATTTAATGGCTAATTTACAAAACACATTTTTTCTGAGCTTTTTTACCTCTTCTTGGACTTTAATCGCATCCGGTCGATTGGCGCGGATGCGGAACGCCGCCGCTACGCCGTACGGATTTTGGAAGGGAATTTTCTAAATAGATTTTTATCTCAGATCATATTTATATTTATTTTTGATCTGATTTTGAAAATGCACCCTGTAAATCGGATGCTCCTCGCCGCGCCTGAGCACCACTTCGAACTCCTTGGTGACCTCCGGCTCGACGCTCTGCAAGAATTGGGATTACCAAAAAAGTAATAAAAACTAGTTTAAATAGGAAAATATGAAAATAATAATATGAAGATAAACAATCTAATGTTATATATAATAATTTTAAAATATAATAGGTCAAAACGATATTTTAATTTGATCAATGTGCACAAATATTAATATTCTCGTAATATTAATATTCTAGCCACCACGAGAAAACGCTACATTTGCGAAACGTCAATTTTTAAGGGAAGCATTTCATAAAATTTTTTTCAGTTTTTTCAAACCGAATTTGAAAGGGCCGGTGAATTTTATTCTTATTATTTTAAAAAAAAACTAATTATGCGCAGCGCCAATTTCTAAAGCATTTTTTATAATGTTGTATTAGGAGATTTTAGGCGCACCGCAATTACTGTAAATACTGTAATTTCCTCAGATTTCCTATATTGGAGCAGGGTCAAAACATCCATTATTTTTTCGTAAAATTTAAGGAAAATACGAAATATCTGCAATACATCTGAAAATACCTTCGTATTTATCAGCCACGATCCGCAGAGATCTCGATTAGCGACGTCCACAGCGGTGATCAGGCTCGTCTGGGGGCCTAAAAAATAAATACGGCTTAAAGTACCTGTTTTAGATCCTATAATTGTATAATTTAATGATTACTGTATTACTTTACAACATCGAATCTGCTATCGAAAAACATATGCTAAAAGCCCGCAAAAAAATTTCAAATGTTTCATGGAAAAAGTTGTCAGCGCAAAATATTTGCCATGCATTAAGTGAGTCTTTTCTTGTCTGAGTGATTAAGTGAGTGATTAAGTGTCTATTCGTCTGAGTCACTTTAACTCATATTATTTCTTGAAAGAATAACGGTTAAAATTCTTTTAGTAAGGTATATTATAATATATAAAACCCAATTTTTCATTACTTCTATGATTTCCAGAAGCATAACATACAAAAATATACAAAACTTGATCCAATTTGAATAGCAGGTTAATTAAACACTAAATTACACCAAAAACCATATACACGAAACGATATCCATGTATTAAATATACCTTTAATGGTCGGCCGGTACTGTAGATTGAACCGATGATCCGTGTCTTCAAAAAGTGTTGGCTGTGCGCCAACTGGCGACAATTCTGGGTTGGAGCTGTAGAGCTGGATGAAGCGCCCCTCAAGGCCCGGCCTAAAAAGCGGAGATTATTAAGGAAGAGGAGAGGGCAGGCTAGCAGAGATTGTTGAGGAAGAGGAGAGGGCAGGCTAGCAGAGATTGTTAAGGAAGAGGAGAGGGCAGGCTAGCAGAGATTGTTGAGGAAGAGGAGAGGGCAGGCTAGCAGAGATTGTTGAGGAAGAGGAGAGGGCAGGCTAGCAGAGATTGTTGAGGAAGAGGAGAGGGCAGGCTAGCAGAGATTGTTGAGGAAGAGGAGAGGGCAGGCTAGCAGAGATTGTTAAGGAAGAGGAGAGGGGGCAGGCTAGCAGAGATTGTTAAGGAAGAGGAGAGGGCAGGCTAGCAGAGATTGTTAAGGAAGAGGAGAGGGCAGGCTAGCAGAGATTGTTAAGGAAGAGGAGAGGGCAGGCTAGCAGAGATTGTTGAGGAAGAGGAGAGGGCAGGCTAGCAGAGATTGTTGAGGAAGAGGAGAGGGCAGGCTAGCAGAGATTGTTGAGGAAGAGGAGAGGGCAGGCTAGCAGAGATTGTTGAGGAAGAGGAGAGGGCAGGCTAGCAGAGATTGTTAAGGAAGAGGAGAGGGCAGGCTAGCAGAGATTGTTGAGGAAGAGGAGAGGGCAGGCTAGCAGAGATTGTTGAGGAAGAGGAGAGGGCAGGCTAGCAGAGATTGTTGAGGAAGAGGGAGAGGGCAGGCTAGCAGAGATTGTTGAGGAAGAGGAGAGGGCAGGCTAGCAGAGATTGTTGAGGAAGAGGAGAGGGCAGGCTAGCAGAGATTGTTAAGGAAGAGGAGAGGGCAGGCTAGCAGAGATTGTTAAGGAAGAGGAGAGGGCAGGCTAGCAGAGATTGTTGAGGAAGAGGAGAGGGCAGGCTAGCAGAGATTGTTGAGGTGCGACGCCGGGTGACTATTTAATAGAAACCACTTTTCCTTTCTAATATCCCCGAAACTCACTTTTTCAACTCGACCCCAAAATTGGTGACCTCGGATTGGATGCCCTTCAGCTCAATGGAACCGGTAGAATAGAGGGTTATCTGAAAGAGTTTTAACATTAAAAGAGCAAACTTATCCTTATAAGGTTTCAAAATCAAAATGATTCAAAATTAATATTCGAGCTTTTTTTTAGAATTTTCAAGATAGGGTAAAAGTTACGCAAACGAATTTTCAAGAAAAGTGTTTCCTACGCAGAATGCTATTTTCTAAGTGCTGTGATAAAGATGACATCCGTTAGCGGATTTATTCGAAATTTTAAGCAACAAAAAAATGGTTTTGTTCATGTCATTATCAAAAGGCCTAGTGGGTTCTGCACGGAGAAAATCCGAATCTTGTACAGAAGCGTGGGCGCAACGATCGTTTTTTCATCGGTTTTAAAAGGAAGAAACGAAACCGTAAAAAGCGGTAAGGATGGGGAAAAAACTAGAAAACTGGAAACATAAAAAAAAACTAAAACCTGTAGCTCCTAGCTTTTTCCCATGAATATGTTTCCACTTATTGTCGCTGTCTTTGAACTGGAACTATAGCAATTTGTAGTCCAAAAATTTCTCTGCTAGTTAAAAAGGGAAGGCAGCAGACCTAAGAAGAAGAAAAAGGAGGTTTGAAGAGAAAATCCCACAAGTATCACAGAAAAATGTTCCAAATTATTGTGGCGATTTAGTGGCTAGTTGATTTTCAATCGCACCAGCACTACTCCTTTGGCGGAGTCGTACTCTTTTTTTACAGGCAAACCATTTGGTCTCTTGTCGTATTTTTCAAGGGCGGGGAAGTGAGAGATAGCTATGGATCTTTTTCGTGGTGCGACATGCAACGCGCCGCCCACGTAGCCGCCGCGAAGCGCTGGGAATCCATTACGCAATGAAATTTAGATGCGCGTTGCGTGTCGCGGGCGCGGCGGATTTTTAATGCCTTGCCGGTTCCTTTAGGAGGAGCCACCCAACCCTTCTGGCTTTTCAAAAGCGAATGTTTCAAATGATTTCCATGTATCATTTTCTGGAACCGCCCTAATATTACGTTTATCGCGCATTATATTCTTTTTTGGACAACGAAGTAGTTTTGGCTGCTTTTAGGTATTATTTCTTAAAGTAAGTCTTTACTTATTAAAGCACGATTTTAAATCAAATTTATGGTTACGAAACAGCAGTGAAAAACGTGGAAAATTACGAAAAAAAATTGTATTCACGCGCAAAATTTCTAGAAATTTTGATGTTTCGAAAAGTATGTGGCATTGTGCGACGTGATTGTCTTTAGTCAGCCCGGTAAATACATGTATAATTATCGATATCCCTAAATTTAAAAAATCGCTTATGCCCAACTCTGCCAATTAAATTTTTCGCCGATCCTCTGTAATTACCATATTAAAACAAGTGGCAATTTTAGAAAGTCATTAAATATAAAAAGACGTTTCTAATTTAAAAACGCAAAATCTAAAATAAAATAAAATCGCGCACTGTACCTTCCAGACCCCAAAAAGACGGTAGGCCTCAGCGTCGGCGTACAAAATCAGTAGAAATTCCCTTGAAGTGCCGCTAGGTCCGCAAAACGCCTAAAAATACTCTAAAAATTAAAAAAATTTAAGGAATTACCGTAAACTGCAAATCCAGGGCTCCGTTTGCCCAGATCAACCTCGCTTTCACGGTTGGATCGGACGTTTTGACGGACTTTGGCAGAATTTGGCCTGAAAATTCCTCAAAAAAAATATCTGCTAGCTTCCTCTCCTCTTCCTCAACAATCTCTGCTAGCCTGCCCTCTCCTCTTCCTCAACAATCTCTGCTAGCCTGCCCTCTCCTCTTCCTCAACAATCTCTGCTAGCCTGCCCTCTCCCTCTTCCTCAACAATCTCTGCTAGCCTGCCCTCTCCTCTTCCTCAACAATCTCTGCTAGCCTGCCCTCTCCTCTTCCTCAACAATCTCTGCTAGCCTGCCCCTCTCCTCTTCCTCAACAATCTCTGCTAGCCTGCCCTCTCCTCTTCCTCAACAATCTCTGCTAGCCTGCCCTCTCCTCTTCCTCAACAATCTCTGCTAGCCTGCCCTCTCCTCTTCCTCAACAATCTCTGCTAGCCTGCCCTCTCCTCTTCCTCAACAATCTCTGCTAGCCTGCCCTCTCCTCTTCCTCAACAATCTCTGCTAGCCTGCCCTCTCCTCTTCCTCAACAATCTCTGCTAGCCTGCCCTCCCCTCTTCCTCAAAAATCTCTGCTAGCCTGCCCCAAAACTTACGATAATTCCTAGGCACTCGTATACAGCGAGTGCAATTGTGATGTTCCCTCGAGTAGAATCGTACTGAGCGTAGCAGTGCGTAGGGCTGATGCACCACGTGCAAACTCAGAATTTGCAACGGTTCCAGCGACGGCCAACGCTTGAAGACTACCTGAAAATACTTATTTTCAGTATTTTGTGTCTTTTCATCCCCGACTCTTTGTTAATACAGAAATACACCAATCCTGGCTTTCGGCCTTGTCAGAAACTAATTTTTTTGCGCAATATTCAGATTCACCGTGACCACTACAGATTAATTTTGAGGCCGCAAGATCATTGGCAAAGAATTACGAACAGACCAGTTTTCCGAGATCCTAAAATTGTCACGTTGCCGAATTTCAACTGAATATGATATGCATTTTCTTCTTTATTTTTGGATTTTAAAAGCAATGGTTTTTTGCGAGAGACATTGTTTTAATAATTGCCACTTTATTACGCGAAGTCTGCAATGGTACGAAACATTTTTTCGGCAAATCTAATTTTTAATGTTTTTGTGCGCATGCTAGGTTAGGCTTACTTAGCTTAGGCTGAGCTTAGGCTTATTTTGACCTTGAAATCCATTTTTAACCCCTTAAAATCCGATACCTTTGTCTGGCTCGTTTGCCCGTCAGCTTTTCCCACCGCCTTCAGGTCCTCGTAGAGGAATGGCACGTACACCACCTCGCGCGGCTTCAACACCAGGCTTGTCTGAAAAATTTTATCAAACTCATTGAACATGCCATTAACTTTATTTTTTGAAATTCTTACGGTCCAAGGTTTGAAACATTTTATAATTTAAAATTAAGTTTGAGAATTGAAAAATTAAAATCGAAACTGTACCTAAAATGGTAAAAATAAATTTTCTTCTAGAATCCGAATGAAAAGAAAGTGAAAATAAAAAACAAAGAGCAAAAGAAACGTTTTAAAAGAATGTTTTTTTATCTACGTTTTGAGCCACTGCTAAATTCAGCTAAAATAGCAAAAATTATTAAAGTTATTTTGGATTCAAAATATTTTTTTATTTTTAAGGGGCTAATTTTTCTATAGCATGATTTATACCTTTCCCTCCTCATCACGGCGCACCAAATTCCGCTCGATCGGCGTGTCCAATTTGTGCGCTTTCTTGTAGAAGGCCCACTCGGCGTCGTCGGTGAGGAGGCTAATTTTAATAGTTAAAATGTAACATTGAAAATAAGCATAAATTACCATGAAAAAGTTTAAGGAAAAATAGTAAAATTTATTTTTTCGACAAAAAATTGACCAATAAATTTTTTTTGAAAATCTATGTTTCAAAAATTCACACGTTCCGCCATTTTCGGCTCGAACTAATTGGTGAAGAAATTAGTTTCTAAACTAAGCTAACCTAACGCTTGCATGCAAATCTCAATAAATATGTGGTAAAATACGCTGTAAATAGTATACATATTCTGCTTATTCCTAGAAAACTATAGAATGATTTCCGCTTGTTTTGTTTCATCGACACCCGGGTTTTGGCGCAATATAAAAATTAGTTTTAACGTTTCTGATTTAAAATTTGGCTTCCCCCGATAAGGGAAGAGAAGCCGATTTGCTTAAGCGAACTGGAAAGAAAAAAACCCACGAAAAAATGTTTCAAGAAATTTGCAGGTCACTTGTCTCCGGTAGGTTGGAATGGGCCCTGCATCTTCAATGAGAAGAACGCTTATTTAAGAAAAAATTCCGGCTGATTTTGCCTTCGGGGACCTTTTCCGCCGTCCTCGCAAAATGTTTAAATTGAAAAATTAGTCTTAATGTATGCTATTTTATTTAAATTGCGCGAAACAGCCAACAAAAAGCACTGGCAAGTATACCAAAATGTTCGTATTATTCTGCCGAGTATTTTGGTATACTTGACAACGCTGTCGGACAACGGGTAGCCCAAATACCGTACGCGGAGCCAGCCAAGGGGGAATTTATATAAACCTTTTGATGTTATTTTATTTTATTTTACTATTTTTTTCGGATATTCTCTAAGACCGTAGTCGCTTATGATTTTTAATTAATGGGCTTTGTTCAGAATTTTCAGTTTCAAAATTGAATTTTCAGTCCTAGAGATCATCAACCTACCGTAACCCGGACTCCTCAATCTCGACGACACAATTCACCGGCTGATCGAGTGTGTTTTGGAGTAGAAATTCGAAAAACACCGATTCTCCCAACGAGACGTGGATTCTGGAAAAAATGTTTTGTTAGCATGGGCAAATCAGGGACCTATAGGCGCATTAATATCCTGAATCATTTTCCGCATTAAATTCCAGAAAAAACCTTGCTCAAATTGCCTCTGCTAGCCTGCCCTGGGATCACAATTCCTCAAATTGTCTCTGCAAGCCTGCCCTTCGGCCAGAATTCCTCTATTCGTCTTTGCTAGCCTGCCCTTGTGCCATAATTCCTCAAATTGCCGCTGCTAGCCTGCCCTAGGGCCAGAATTCCTCAAATTGCCTCTGCTAGCCTGTCCTGGAACCACAATTCCCCAAATTGTCGTTGCTAGCCTGCCTTGGGCCAGAATTCCTCAAATTGTCTTTGCTAGACTGCCATAAGTCCAGCATTTCTCAAATTGTCTCTGCTAGCCTGCCTTACTTGTGTTCCGTCGTAATCCCCCGAAACAGCGTGTTCAGCAACCGGCCGGCCTTCCCCTCGTTCCGGATCCGCTTGTACGCCTCCAACTCGGCGTCGAACACGAAGTTTTTCATGGTTTTCTAAAACAATATGAAATGCGCGATCATAATGTTAGGACCGGCGAATAAAAAACAGGAAGCACTAGAAATTCCTGAAACCTAAATCTCGAATAATTTTGCTTTTTTTATTTTATTTTTATTCTTTATTTTCTTTTCTTTCTTCTTTTTTCTTTCTTTTTCTTTTTGCTTTTTTCTTTTATTCCTTTTGTTTATTTTTTTTATTGGTAACGATTAGAGAACTTCCTTGCTGTTTTCAACAGAGTTTACAAAATTCCAAAAAAAACCTTGACCGTTTCGATGATTTCAATATTTATATTATTCCGATTTATTATTTCTATATTTAGGTATACGGACACGATCCCGAAAAGACACCATCCCGAAAGACACCATCCCGAAAAGACATGATCCCGAAAAGACACCATCCCGAAAAGACATGATCCCGAAAAGACACCATCCCGAAAAGACACCATCCCGAAAGACACCATCCCGAAAAGACATGATCCCGAAAAGACACCATCCCGAAAAGACACCATCCCGAAAAGACATGATCCCGAAAAGACACCATCCCGAAAGACACCATCCCGAAAAGACATGATCCCGAAAAGACACCATCCCGAAAAGACACCATCCCGAAAAGACATGATCCCGAAAAGACACCATCCCGAAAGACACCATCCCGAAAGACACCGATCCCGAAAGACACCATCCCGAAAGACCATCCCCCCGAAAAGACACCATCCCGAAAAGACACCATCCCGAAAGACACTATCCCGAAAAATGCAATAACATTCCGAACGTAGAAAAAACGTGCAATTCGCTATGCAAATGTACTTTTCACATGCAGATTAAGGGTACTCGCTCATTTGCATAGGAAAATAGCTCGTTTTCTACGTCCGGCCAATCATTGCATTTTTCCGTATGGTGTCTTTCGGGATGGTGTCTTTTCGGGATGGTGTCTTTTCGGGATCATGTCTTTTCGGGATGGTGTCTTTTCGGGATAGTGTCTTTCGGGATGGTGTCTTTTCGGGATGGTCTCTTTTCGGGATGGTGTCTTTCGGGATGGTGTCTTTTCGGGATGGTGTCCATAATTCCTATATTTATCTCATTTCTAAAACATAACGAACGTGTGATTATCCAAATACTCCCAGCAGTATAATCTTTTTGAGACGAAACATTGAGTTTCAAATGGCGCATTTTTAAGCTTTTTAATTTTTATCATGTAACTTTATCGTTATAATCAAAGTACTATTTAAATTGCGCGAATTGAATTGTTTTTATTAAAATATCTTGAACCTAAAGATCACCTTGCTCCGCTCGCTCAAAGCCTCGGTCGTGGGATGGCCATACCCATTCGAATCCCCATTTTCTTCGGCGAATCTCTGCGAAATGTCCAATCTAAAAAGTAGGCTTTTAAAGGACTTGGCAAGTCATAGTCAAACTGGACGGCTAGGAAGAAACAATTGACTTGCAGCCTTTTGCGGGATATTTAAAAATATTTGTAACATGTTTTTTCTCAGGAGTTGTATGCTCCGTTTGGGATATTGATTTCTGAGCGCCCCTATAAAAGCTTAGGCTTAGGCTTAGGCTTAGGGTTGGCTTAGGCTTGGCTTAGGCTTAGGTGAGCTAAGACTTAGGCTTAGGCTTTGTCTTGACTTCCGTTTGACTTAGGCTTGGGCTTAGGTTTGCGTTAAGCTTAGGCTTTGGTTTGTTAGAAAATTCCGTACATTAAAATTCGCGAACCTTTGAGCGTACAAGAATTTTTGTAGTGCATTCTCGTGAGCCGGGTTTAGCGGGCGGACGCGAATCTGAAAATTGAAATAATTTCAATTAGCCTTAAGTGGTTTAAATTAAAATTGTCCATAATACAAAATTAATAAAATTTTATACCATAAGCGAATCAGCGGCCGAATCCAATTTCTCGAGCCGTTTTGAGACGACTGCCTCGTTTTTGGAATGGACGAGATCTGAAAAATTGAAGTGTTAGGTGGAGAGAGGAACAGAAAGAGAGAGAGAGAGAGAGAGAGAGAGAGAGAGAGATATAGAGAGAGAGAGCGAGAGAAAGCAAGAGATAGAGAGAGTGTGAAAGAGCCTTTAAAGCTATACCTATTTGATTATTACTGGGATGTCCGATCGAGGCGAACTTCATGAAAAGCGAGCCGGCATTCTAAAATGGTGGATTTTTGGAACGCATTGAACCCATTTTGAGTCACAATTAGTCACGCATTTTAGATTCGATTTTTTAATATTTTTTGAAACACCTTGTTTTTCAAATAAATATATTTTGAATTGAACTTTATATTTCTTTCCCTAAAAAAAATGGCATAAAAAATTTAAATCCCGCTCACCTTTTGCACGGGCCCGACACTATTCTGCATCACCGTACCGTAGGCGAAGAATTGGACGGCTTCAAGGCCGTTTCGGATCAGGCACTAAAGTGGGCTTAAAAATATCATGTTTCAGCTTTGGTACAGTTTTGCTTGAATTTTGTATCGACTTAATAGAAGTTTGTTTTTGCCTTCATAGACGGCCCAATACATTTTTGCCCTCATACACACTTATTTAATGGTTAGGTTAGGGTCGGGCTTTGGCTTGGGCTTAGGCTTGGGCTTAGGCCTAGGGTCCAAAATAACGACAGCAAAAAAATTTTGTAATATAAAGGGTGTCTTTTTGTTTTTATGATGTGATGTTTCTAAACTTTATATGCCTCATAAAACTCACGTGCAGCGGGATATTAGTCGTCCCGATTAACTGCACCGAATCTGCATCCCAGATATCAATTTGTAGGCTGGCGTTTAGAAGAAAGTTAACGAATTCGGCGGGATCCTGCGGCGAAATGGCCGATCGGTCTACGGTAAGGCGGACCTGAAAAATTGACTTTGATTATTTTTGTAATTTTTATTCAAAATCAAGAGAGAGAGAGAGAGAGAGAGAGAGAGAGAGAGAGAGAGAGAGAGAGAGAGAGAGAGAGAGAGAGAGAGAGAGAGCGAGAGAGGGGGAGAGGGTGTGATAGAGTGAGAAAAAGAGCAAGATAGAGGGAGCGAGCGAGAGAGAGTGTGAGAGAGTGAGAGGGTGAGAGCGAGCGAGGTAGTGAGAGAGAGTGAGAGAGAGCTAGATCGTGGATTTTGAGTACCGCATTACCACGGAGATACTCTAGTTTCTGAAGCATAAATTTTCGTCAAAAGTGTTGTCGATTTTTACTATTTTTACCTAATTAACCCGTTCGCAACATTTCGGCCAACTAGCAGAACCAATTTGAGGAATTTATCGTTAATTTGTCGTTTTAATCGTTGGGTAATTACCATAAATCCATGGTTCTCCTCAACCGGCTCCCCATTTCCAGGGAGTAATCGTTTCAGAATGCAGGGCTCGCCGGGAATCGTCGCAACTGCTAGCAATCTAGAGAGATTACAAATTTTTATAAATGTTTGGTAATTAAAATTAATTATGTATTTAAGTTTAGTATAAATACATATTTATTACTTAATATGCTTTGGAAAAAGTTAACGGAACCGATAACATTCTGTTCTTAAAAATTTACAAATATTTTTTTCAGCAGGAAAAAGGCGCTATTTTAGAAAACTTTATTTGCTTTTTTATTATTCATGAAATAAAATGTATTATTCAGAAAATAAATTCATAAATAACTCACTTTTCCGTCGTCACCTCAGGGAATCGATAGAATTGGAACGTGAAAAAACATGTTTTCGGGGTTGCGAGATGTTGACTAGCCCTGGAAACACCTAATCTCTTTGAATTTTATGACTGCGAAACTAAATTTGCAATAAATTTTGCAGTACTTTTATTCATTTCATTCTGTCGATTTTATCTACATTTTGCAAATTTATTTACATTTATTTTCATTTCCAGTAGAAAATTGGAGCCTGAATTTAAATTTAAAGATTTTTCGATTTTTTTTGCCTAAATGTATCGTTGCGCCGTCGCGTATTTTTTTTTGCCACATTTCAGGTGCAAAAGTTTTTAAAAACTGGAACTGAAACTGGAAATTTTGTCGAAAATCGTGTATTTTTGCCAGAAAATCGATAGTTTTGCAGTTTTTCACTTAATGTTTGCGAATTATTTAGAAAAACGGGTAGTGCGTTTATTGGAAACTAAAAAAGCTGACCCCCCGATAATGTATTTGCACCCAACAATCCTCATTAAAAACTCACCAAGTAACGCCCAAGAACTGTACGACAATCTCGTGGGTGTCCAGAGGATCGTTGCGTTCAATGGCTTCGTTGTAGGTGGGTCCGGCAGATAAATCGATCGTTTTTGGCAAATCGCCATTTCGGTCGTAGATTGGGGGCACCTGAAATTTGCATTCGTTCGGTTTTTAGCAATTTTCGAGTTTTAGAATTATTATTTTAAATTAATTTAATTATTTTTATATGCAAATTTGATAGTTCTTGGTTTTCTAGTAAATTTAAATTGTTAGATTCGTCGGACTAAATTTATACTTTTTAGTAATTATCTAGTAATTCTCGGTTTTCTTTCCGATTTATAGTATTAAACTAGTAGCTTAAGTTTGTATATTTTTAGATATAAGAATATATTTAAGATTTTATTAAGCACCTCGATTTTTAAGTTAAATAAAATTGTTGAAGTTATGAATTAAACTTATAGATCTCGCTTCACCCCGTTTGAATTTAAATGCTTCATGTATTGTAACATAGAACTCCGGGGTATTGGCATTTAATGAACTTGAAGGCACTGCTCTTGATCGTTCTGTGATTTCCTTCGTTATTCTAGATTTTTTATTTGGTTAAATTCGCTCACTTCAGTTCCTCAATTTAAATTGCCTAAATTACTAATTTAAGTTCTTTTATAACCTGAGAATTTATTGAATTAAATCTATTCATTCCGCTGCACCGCGAATTCATTTTAATGTTTCACCTATTTTGCAGAAAAATCAGAAATTAATCCAATTTATTGGCTGGAATTAAATATCTTCCACATTTTTCAGGGCGTATTTTAAAAAAAAACACTTTTATTTCGATACCTTAACAAAAGAGTGATTTATATTATACTTTCCTTGTTTTATAGCGCTAGTTTTCACATTTAAAAAAAATACATTGAAGTTAAATTAGGCTAGCCAAAAACCTACCTCTGCCCAGGCGACAAGTCCATAGGCGGATCGAGGGACGGAGAACGCGCTGAAATTTTACAATTTAGAATTAGTATAATTAGAATTAGGATTAAATTATTTTTTCATTCATTTTAATAATTAATTAAAAAGACTTAGACATAAATTAAATTAAAATTCAGGACATTTAAGAAGAGACAAGAAGCAGACAAATAGTCAACAATTTTCCAAAAAAATGTTTTACAAAATTCCCGGCTGCTGATTTTCGTTAACTGTACAATAGTTGATTGTTATTCGCCATTTCACAATTTTCATGCTCTATTTCTCTGGCCTTCCTCATTATTTACAGTTTTTAAAAACGGTTAAATATATTTTTATTGGTCTAAAAACCCACCTAACATATTCCGTGTCGACTACCGTATAATTCTCATTTTCATCGAGCCCTTGATAGGGCGATTTTTCGAGAGGTTTCTCGAGCGTTAAATGTACGACCGGTTTTGGTTGGAATTTCTGAAAAAACGGATTAAGACGATCCTAAAAAGAGAGAGAGCGAGCGCGAGAGAAAGAGAGGGAGAGGGAAAAAGAGAGAGAGAGAGAGAGAGAGAGAGAGAGAGCGAGAGAGAGCGAGAGAGAGAAGCATAGATATCCTTAAATAACCTTTTCCACAACCACCGGGTCCAGAACCTGATATTCCGGACCCTTCCTCGGTTCCTCTCTATCTGCTCTTTTCTCATTTTCCCTCCTCTTAGGCCGTTTCTCGGTCTCTGGCCTTGACTGGGGAGCAAGAGCTGGAGCTTCGGGTTGTGGGCTCTAAAATTAGTTACTCCATTCTTCCTAAAATGCACGGAAAATACCGTAACCCTGTGCTCAACCGAGCGACCACGTCCAAAAGGTCGTGACGGGGGCGAGCGGAGGTCAAAGGACATCTCCTGGAAATAGAAATCTTGAATTCATACGTTCGCTCTTTCTCGCTCTCTCTCTCTCTCTCTCTCTCTCTCTCTCTCCCTCACTCCCTCGCCTACCTCATCCTTGGCATTAAAAACGAACGCCATCTCGATCCGCGGCATTGCTGGCAGCGTATTTAGTTTTTGTTGGAATATGCTAAAATCAACCAAATTTTTCCTAAACTCTTTTTAATTAATTTTCTTTTACAGAATCATCTTTTTAAGGATCTTGTAATTTCAATTCATAAATGCTGTTTTTGTCGTATCGTTTCCTCTCGAAGCAAGCGTGTATTAAGAAGCGTAATCCCAACGCACCTATGCAAGTTTTTGAAACACAGATTCTCATCCGGATTCGGCCGCGGTCCGCCGACCAGTTGCACTGTAAAAGTCATTTTTGAGATTTTTTATTTGTAATTTTTTTGAATATTTGATGACGATACCACGTCTTTTTGTGTATTTCGTATATTTTATTCTTTTCTACTATAAGTTCTACGACTTTTCAAAAGGTGGTACCGAGCGAAACATAGATTTTAGAAAATTTTATTTACATTTGGCGCCCAAATGGACTCATGGAATTTGTTAATTAATTTTTATGATTAAAGGTTTAAATGATGAATTCTAATTCTAATCTAATTTATTTTATTTTAATCCATTTTAAATCGTTTCCTTCATCGTTTTTGACCCGGAATTTTAAGGGTTGCAAGATTAGTTTTACACGGAGCACGAAAAAATCACATTTTGTTTTTGTTTTTGAAGTATTATTTTGCATAACTAAATGTAATTAGCAAGGGATAGGTCATCCACCAAGGAATCTTTGGAATTAAAGATTTAGCCTTGACGCGTTTCCTCAATTTCTTGAAACACTTACTTTTCACCTTTGCCGGGCCCGGCTCGATATTGTGGTTCTCGCCGCCGAAAGGCCGCCACGCTCCCCAGCATACTAACGCCGTTTTGGAAGCACCGTAGCTGTGCTGAAACGAGAGAAAACATCGATAAGGAGAGAGAGAGAGAGAGAGAGAGAGAGAGAGAGAGGGAGAGAGAGAGGGAGAGCGAAACTCACAAATTCCGAATTATACTCGGCCATCACGAACTCGAGCAAAAACACGACGGCCAGCCGGCTGTCGGCGGAAATTCGCGGAATTGCCACCTTTGTAGGAAGCATTAGTAGGGAGAGACCCTGCACGGAGTATCTAAAAGTAATAAGCTTGAGTCAACACGCTATGAAAAAGCCTATGCTAAGCCAAAGCCTAAGCCAAGGAAAACCTAAGCCGAGCCTAAGCCAAGCCTAAGCCACGCCCAAGCCAAGCTAAGCCTAACTCTAAGGTTCCGACCTTGAGTCCCGGCGCGACGGGCTGATGCTCTTGCGGCGTAGAGAATGGGTGGTCGTAGCTGCTTCTCCCATCGACAACACTACCGTAACCGGCTCCCCGATATAGGAAAAACCGTTGTGGACGCCGATCTCAAAAAAGCGATTTACAATCCAATAATTAAATCGAAAAAAACGATAAAAAAGCCAATTTTTAAAAATACAGTTCTCCAATTAATAGAAAAAATAAATCAATTTGAACCTACCCTCAATCTTCGCTCGATTATGGCTAGCCTTGGGGGTGGGGCCTTGGCATTTCGGGATGGGCTGAAACATGAAAATTTGAAGTTTCACAGAAGCAAGGTGTTTGAACATATCCCATGAAAGGTATTTTATTCATTATTTTTCATATCGACAAGCAGCAATTAAAATGAATAAATAAAATATTAATATGAATTAAATAAAATAATTTTAAGTTCAACTAACTTACGGCACAAAATAATTGCACCGCCGCTCAGCCGTTATATCGGCGCGCAGCGCGTCCTCAATCTCCTTCCCGTGCTCCCCGAAATCGATTGTTACCTGAGATATTTTTTAATTTAATTTGATTTTGGTTTAATATGAATTTATTTAACCAAATTAAATATAGAATTTTACGTTTTACAAAAATAGATTTTATCGAAAAAAAAACTTACCTCATCGATGGATCCCGGCAGGAATGGTAACAATTCCGGAGCGGAGAGCTGTGATTCTGAAAATTATATGCTTCAAAAAATTAGTGCTTCTAGCAAAATTTATGAATTGAATGTCTTTTCGACCCTTAATTTTAAAGATAAAGCTTTTTTGACTACTTACGCCCAAGCTCAGGCTTGGGCTTAGGCTTAGGCTTAGGCTTAGGCCTGGGGTTAGGCTTAAGCTAAGGCTTAGGCTTAAGCTTAGGCTTAGGCTTAGGCTTAACTCGAGGGTCAGGCTTAGGCTCAGCCTTGGCTTTACTTAGCCTTAGGCTGCGGCTTGGGCTTAGGCTTGGGCTTGGGCTTAGGCTTGGGCTTAGGCTTGGGTTAGGCTTAAGCTTCGGCGTAGGCTTAGGCTTAGGTTTGCTTCTTAAATTCTAATTAACATACGGCGCTCAAACTCGGCCAGCCCGGGAATATCGTCCGTTTGGCCGACAAGAAAAAAGGGCCCAAAATAGTCGGCGGCGGCGAGGAGTTGCGGGTGCGAGAAGAGCGTAGCCTGCAGCGCGCCTGAAAGTCGTAAGTTTATTTTTTAATTTTTAAACTAATTTTTAAACTATGTTTAACCTAATTATTGATTTTTAACGGATTCTAGTGTAAAGAAATAAATTTTTAATACATCGAAATCAAGACAAGTCAAGCGATCAGGCTTACATTATACGTGCAGACTTTTGATTCGGGTCTGAGCTATTTGAAACATTTTTCCTTGGAACTTTATTCATATTTTTCTAAGATCTATTATTTTATGTAGTTTTTAAAGGCCTTTGCAGCGAGACTGGATTGAGCTATATTAATGTAGCAGCGTTGACTTAGTAGAACTGAATTTTTGAAACATATTTTTTCTGAATTCGGGCAGAGTTTTTACAATTTCTGCATTAATATATTGATTTAATTGCTTATATTTCCTAATAAATAAAAATGGTAATAGGCTGATTTCACTAAAACTTTAACAAAGTTTAAATTAACAGAACTACTCCATGAAAAAGGACTATTAACATCAGTCCCACTTTTCGGTTAAACTAATTTTTTTGAAACACCAAATTTTTAGGGAAAGGGTCCCTTTATGATTCATAGTAAGCACTTTAAAAACATGCGCTTTCGAAACCACGCAAGTTTGAAGCTAGATCTACACATTTCCGAAGCCTAAATACCTGTGGCTCCCTGCGTCTCCTGCTCGATGTTGGTGGTGTAGATGAGGGCCTTCGGGGTGCCCGGTAGAAGACGTTGTCTAAATAGTAAATTTAAAAGTTTAAAGGTAAATCAAACTAATGAATTGAACTTTAAAATTAATAAAAAATACCTGGATGGGGTTTGAAACGATCTCCGATCAATTTGGTAATTCTGGAGGGCCGTAGAGTGAGAATTTATCGGCTGCATACCCCAGCCCACGGTCATCTGATCGGTTCGATCGGCTGGTGAAGCCTAAAATTTGGGTACTTTACTCTTTTCGGGGGAGCGAGGGTTTTCTTTACCTTCTTTTATTACTAGGGGTAAAACTTTCAAACAACCGCTTCGAGAAACAAAAAAAAAATGATTTTTATACCAAAATTCACGATTTACGACCAAAATTTCGATAAATTTGAAGTTTTTAAAGTTTTCTAAATAGTTTTACGCTTAAAATCAACTCAAAAACATTCGGAAAATAGAAAAGCATCGGTTCTTCGACCAAAAATGCATGAATTTCAACGCAAAAATTAGGCAGTTTTGCACTTAAAATATAATTAAATTGACTAAGCGGACTCGAAAGATACTTTATTGGAAATAGAAAAAAATATAGAAAAATTCCTAGTAATAGTAATAAAATGAATTTAAACTTGAGTTCTAAATTCTCACCTCAACCAGCTCGTAAATCAGCGAAATCTCGTCGCCAATGACTGGGCAATGGAAGAAGATTTCCTAAAAATGGCTTTGGATTTCTTGTTTTTGATTTTTTACTTTTTAAATTTTAATTTTTTAGTTTTTTATCATGTTTCAAAATTAACTATGTCTCTTCTGGGTTTATAATGAACAATTATCGAATTTTGGATTTTTATAGCTATCTTTTTTTTGCCAATTTTTCCTTACCTCATCAAAGTTAACATTCCCCTCAACGGCTGGCAGGGCCCGGGTACGGTATGGACGCCCGAAAAATTGGCGCGTTTTAGAATCGAAAAAGCACAGCTGCACAAAGTAGAGGTAGTTGGCGTTCGCCTGGAATTTTTTTGTTTCTCTCGCTCTCTCCCTCTCTCTCTCTCTCTCACTCTACTTACTCCATTCAGCTGAACACCATCCAGCCGTACTGCAAATCCCTCCGGCGTGCCCGCCTCAAAATCGCGCAGCCGACGCGGCAAAACATGGCGATTCCGCAAGAAAGCAGTGTACCACTCGTTCACCGAGTGGCCCTGGGTCACCATTTACGGAATAGAAAGATAATAATAATATTAAGAATATCCGAATTATTAGGGTACTAAGAATTATTGGGAGTTTATGTGCCCGGCGGGCACATAAGCGTCACCATGGCAACACGCATTTCCGGACAGCTGGCTGGAGCGGGATTCCTAAATGGCCCCTGCTGGCCTGCCCTCTCCTCTCCCTCAACAATCTCTGCTAGCCTGGCCTCTCCTTTTCCTCAACAATCTCTGCAAGCCACCCCTCTCCGCTTCCTCAACAATCTCTGCTAGCCTGCCCTCTCCTCTTCCTCAACAATCTCTGCTAGCCTGCCCTCTCCTCTTCCTCAACAATCTCTGCTAGCCTGCCCTCTCCTCTTCCTCAACAATCTCTGCTAGCCTGCCCTCTCCTCTTCCTCAACAATCTCTGCTAGCCTGCCCTCTCCTTTTCCTCAACAATCTCTGCTAGCCTGCCCTCCCCTCTCCCCAACAATCTATGCTAACTGGCCCTATATCCTCCTCCATATACGATGAGCATGACGAAAAATGTATCGGGAAAAAATAGTGGAAAATTGCGATCGGGAGGGGCATAATCGTTGAACCATTGTCGCGTCGTTCCCTATATCGGATCTTCGGCCAGGACCTACCGTATCCCCTGCTTTTCGCGCGCTTTCCTCTGCTTCTCTGCCCCGAAATTGGCTGGGATTGGGCTGCGAAAGAACATGTGTTTCAGGGAAACGAGTGAATCATCGTATTTTCCTGACCTTTTTCAATCAAAAACTTGGAACAATGAGGTTAATAAATTACGATGCTTTCACGAATCCTATTTTGGTTGATTTACTACGATTTCAAGTTAACTTTTGGCCAGCCGGGCTCGATTTTAGCTATTCTTTTGTTTGTCGCTTTTCACTTGTGGCCATTCATTCCTTTGCCGTCTTATTTTATTCCCCTTTTCAGGCCAAAATGTACGCCGGCTACGACAGCATGGTCGACCTGTGCGTGCAGAGCGTGATGGCCTCCGTGAAGAACATGACGACCGAGCAGCTGCAGAAACTGCTCGACAACGACGCCCAAATGGAGGCGATGATCGAGGAGTTGCCGCAGGTTTGTGGCTTTATTTGTTCTTTTAAGTTTATTCGTTTTTCCCTTTCAGATCCGCAACCAGCCCCAAGACAAAAAGGCCGAGCTCGCGCAGAACAAGTCGCTGGCCGAGTGGAATTTGGCGCAGGTGATTATCGTTTGATTTTTCAGTATTATGTAGCATTGATTTTTTGGTCCTTTCACATTATCGGGGGCCCGAATTTTTGTATAGGTCTAGAAATGTCGAGTAACCTAATAGGAAGTGTTTTACTAGTGCGTTTAGTGGAATATATCTATATTTAGACTTGAAAAACTATCTTAAAACCTTCGAAAGTCGAAAGTTTGGTCAAAAACGGCATTTTAGGCGAAGAATCGATGTTTTTCGTATTTTTTTTAATTTGTAGAGTTTAACGTTTAGGAATAGTAGAGAACAGTATATAAACAGTATATCTGATTTATTTAGGAACCCCGAATCAGCCAGATGAAAGACCAGCTCCGCGAGACGCACATGCGGGCCACGCAGCTGAAAACGGACGTCGAACGACTGAAGGGGCAACTTGGTACGTTTCTTGGCCCTAGATCACCAAACTATTTTTTCCAGATCAATCAGGCAACGAGCGATCGCTGGAGACGACGAGCGCCCTGCTGCAGATTGAGGCCCAAAAAACCGAAGAGGAGGCTGAGGTTGGTTTTTGGCTTTTATAAACAGTTTAAAGTTGTAAATGACTTTTCTAAACATATTTCTACGTTCAGGAAATCGCGCAGCAATTCGAGGAGGGTGCGCTCACGCCGGACGTGTTTATCAAGACGTTTTTGGCGAAAAAGAAGCTGGCGCATACGAGGTGAGGTATCGGGAGGGGCGGATTTTTGCCGGTTTCAACTACTAGAAACTATTTTCATAGTTTTTTGGGAAAGTTTAGCTTATTTTATGCGGGAAAAATTATTGAGAAAATGTTTAAAATTTTCAATTTGCTGCGAAAAATTGTTATATTGCCATTTATATAACTAAATTGTGCCACATTTCACGTTTAGAAAGTAGAAGGTAGTTGTATAGTATGTTTGTATTTATGAATCTGTTTTTGGAAAACTACAATTTTGTACCTAGGAGTTAAAAATATCCTCTAATTTCAGAAAAATCAAGTCCGATCGCCTCACAAAATTGCTGCAAGACCAGCTGTACAACACGCCGATGGGCGGCGGCCGGCCGACGTCGATGGTCCAACCGCCATACCCAACGTCGTACCCGGAAATCCCGCAGCCGAACGTCAACCGGCACTCGCTGTGGTGAAACCCTCATCAGGACACCGCCAATATCGCTCAATTCTGCTTATCATTGTCAAACCAACGCTTTTTCATGCTCACGATGTGTATCTACTTCTAGCCCTTGTATTTCTACCCTTTCCAGTCTTTTTTAAACTTTTATTGGCCCGACAATCCAATTTTAGACCGATTTCCAAGCCCTTCTTTCACCTATACCGTGCCACAACCCGATTTCGCATGCATTCCATCAATTCCCCGTTGCTGGCCAGCCTTCTTTCTATTCATCACGAAATTGTAGAATTATCTTTGTTTTGCGTGACTTTCATTGCACCCCGCTAGTCACATCGATGCGTTTCCGGATTGCGAAATTATTATGATGCTTGTGTGTTTGCCAAGGGTTTTTTGGAGGTGTTAATAAACGATTGACGAACAGTTTCATGTTTTTGTTTTTGAAAACTGGAAAAGCCATTGAAGGAATATTTTTGAAGTGTTTTGGACATTCCTCGACAAGTAGCTATAGTAATTGCAAAAACTACCTGTGCACTGCCGGATATTTTAAAACTTCCTTTTTCAATTTTCAGCTTTCTTGGGTATTTTGGCTTTTAGCAAAATGGGAAATTTTACATTCACATTTTCCAGATGCTAAAAACTTTACTACGACCCCGTGTGGCCTCGAACGCCGCCCGTGGACTCGCCTCGCTCAGAGAAAAAGGTTCCAGAAACTGTATTTTTCAAAAAACTCCTTTTTTAGTTGGAAAAATCGACCCGCTGGACCGGTATGAGCCTCGATTCGAGGACCCACGCGAATTTCCAGAGTAAACTATTTAAACGTGATTTTAAACCTTTTTTTTTAGATTTCCCGTGATGAACATCCGGCTGCAGGGCCACGACTTTGTGCCCCTCGAAAAGTACCAGGCCTACGTGCACAAGATTGCCAAAAAGTTCCAGTTTCCGGTGGTGGATAGGTGAGCGTGAACTGCATGGATTTGAACTCTTTTTCGGACAAATAATTAGCGTTTGAAATATATAACCATTGAAAAAATTTAAAAACTACTTAAAAATTGCAATTATGGACGAGAATTTAGTCGTTTTGGTCAAGAAATCGATAGTTTTATACTTACTAGTAGAGCTTTTGCATAAGTTACACGTTTGGGAAGATTAAAAATAGTTTAGAAACATAATATCTATTTATATTAGAAAATTTGAGCCTAGTTCCTGGAAATACTGCAGAACCTGATATCTTTATTGATTTTTTGTAAACTACCATTTTAACGCTCGATTTAACCAATAAAATTGCCATTTTTGGAAAGTTATGCCAAGTTTTAACACCCCGTTTCAAATAGATAACGTGACTCTTTAGATACTACATTTTTAGTTATGCCGTCGCCGCGCAAACGAGCCGCGCCACCACCTTCAAGCCGCAGTCGACGATTGTCGACGAGTCGATCGGCCTGTCGCGGTACGAGAGGGTGGTGCGTTTTCCCGTTCTTTGAATCGCTCATTTAGTGGAGCCCCTCTGTTTCCTTGGAACCCGAATTAATTTGAAACATTTGATCGCCAAAATTTGGAACTGTTGTGCAGCTTTCTAGGGCTTCAGTTAACGTTTTGTTTTAGATTTATTTTTATTTTATTTTTGTTTATTTGGTGATTTTTTATTTCAGGTTCGAGTAGGCCCGATCCCGGCGCCACGCGTCCAGCTCTTCCTCCAGATGATCCGCGCTCACAATCCGATCGGCGTTACGGTAATTTATTTTTTTTATTTAGCGTCTACAACGTATTGGCGTAATCATTTTCGACGTTGATTTGAAACGGTTTTAAACCGTAAAATAAAATGAAACTATTTTTTTCGAAACATGTTCTCTTTTCGCTCTAGTTCCGGGTGAGGGATTTTTCTAATATAAATATATATTTGTGGTGTTACATTTTTTAACGTGAAAACTTCATGGTTTTTATCAAAAAAATGCGAAAATATCGGTTTTTTTGATCTGATTAGAAAATTGTAAGCAGTTTTAGAAACTTTAAATAAAAACTTAAAGTTTTAGAAATTTAAACTTTAGTTTTCGATTTGAAATTTGCTACATCTTAAATTTAAGGGCACTTGAAATACTTGTTAGGACGTTACTATCCATATCTGTTGAGTTTCAAACTATAACATTGTTATTATGACGTAAATCACATGAGAAAATTCAATAAATATACGCCCTAACACTCCGTTCCATTTCAGATGACAGTCAAGGAGCACGAGAAGGCCGACGAGGACTACCGCTACATCCCCGACCTGATGCTCAAGGAGAAGCAGACCGAGCTGAAGAGCCTCGACGACCCGGCCGTGCGCCGCAATCTCGGATGGGAATAATTTTCGCGTTTTTTTGCCTCTATTTTTGCTTGTAGCAGTTTTATGACGGTTTTTAGGATAGTTTGACATCGTCAGGATTTGTAGTTTTAGTTGATTTATCGATTTTTCTTGCGATTTTAATGTTGGTATTTACCAAGTGCCAATTATCGTTTTCCGTTTCGGCGTCCGTGTTGAGGATTGTTTGCGAATAAACTGTGATCTCAGGAATATGGATGTTTTACGGACAAAATGGCACGTTTTTCCGGTGATTTGCTTGTTTTGCGACAGCGATTCCGGGTACTGGTCTGTTACCGGGGGGACTAATTTTTGTGGGGGTAGTCGGGGGCATTTTTCACATATTTTTGATCAAAAACTCGAACTTTTTATATCAGAAAAACGGTGCAAAATGCTATAAAAAGGAGAAGATATCCAGCAAATCTATTTTGAACCTTTTTCTGTAATATTTTAAACTTATAATTATAGATTTTCCTATATAACTTGCAGGTTCTTTCGCATTTCTTGATTTATGCGAAAAATTAAACCGAGAATTCGAAAGAACCTGATTTACAGCTCGATGGACGCGCTGTATCATGAAAAGCAGAGTCGCCAATTTTGCCTGGTGCACTGCCTCAACGCGCTCCTGCAGCAAAAAGCCTTCACGCCGGAAATGCTCGACGAGATCTGCTACGGGATGAACGAGAGCAGATGGTTCAACCCGCACAAGTGAGCAAATTGAACCAGCGTCCGTATTTATCTAATTGTCGCGTGATAGCTTTTAAAGTTTCCGGTGCTTTGGCAATATCGGGGGAGCTGAATTTTTTAATAAGTCACTGTCACTTCAAAAATGTTTAGATCATGGATCGGGCTCGGCAACTACGACGCCAACGTGCTGATGGCCGCCCTCGGGCTGCACAACATGGAGCCGGTATGGTTTGACGGGCGGAAAAGCGCCGAACAAATCCCCTTCGACCAGGTTGGTTATAGTGAAGTTTGTGTTTCGTAGTATAATACCAGTGGCACTTATTCGGATTTCTTTAATTAATGGTGAAAATTGAAACGCAATACTTAATTTTTAGTATGTTTGCCTTTAAAATCCTTACCGTTACAGGTCCACTCCATCATCTTCAACATCCCCACCACGTCATTTGTGCCGTTTTGGAATGGGCGACATTGGTTCACCGTACTACGGTAAGCAGGCTAGCAGATATTGTTAAAGAAAAGGAGAGGGCAGGCTAGCAGAGATTGTTGAGGAAGAGGAGAGGGCAGGCTAGCAAAGATTGTTGAGGAAGAGGAGAGGGAAGGCTAGCAGAGATTGTTAAAGAAAAGGAGAGGGCAGGCTAGCAGAGATTGTTGAGGAAGAGGAGAGGGCAGACGTGCCGAAATTTTCAGGAATCCCAAGAATTTTTTTATTTTCAGACGACCTGACGGCTCCTTCGTCAATCTCGACTCGAAGCTGAAGAAGCCGGAATTAATCACAAATATTCAAGAGTACGCCAAAACCGTCCTTCAAAACGAGAAGAACCAAGCTATCCTAGTATTCGAGCAGGGGAAGCGGCCCGACTCATCTTGATTGTGATTTGCATTCACTTACGCTATGTATATAGCTTTGTCTTACGGGTATACAAGATAAACTTTTAAAAGGAACGGAGTGTTTGCAGCATAAGACAGAGGAGGGTGAAAGCTTTTGAAATCCCAAAAAAATGTTTTGTTGATAGGTAGAGGGGAATTCGACCACACAGGGCTAATCCGACATTTTCTTTTTTCTTGTTGTCATTTCATGCGATTTCTGGCTTCGCAAATTTATGAAATCTAAGTGGCCATAATTAATAGAGGAGCCGGGATTAATACCCTCCATTGACGCCGTTGTATGCGTTGACCTCAAAAAAAATGGAAAGGAAAGGAAAAAAATATGTTTCGACTTATTGGACTCTCACTGGCGTGGGTATTCCAATAATCCCGGGTTGTTGCCTACTAAACTAAAAACCTACCGCGGCGCTTCGCGGCGGACACGGACAGTAGGCAGCATCATTTCCGGGCGGTCCATTGGCCCCATTTTCTCCATCTTTCCCATCCATACCAGGCTCGCCATCAGCCCCTGGGCCGCCCTGATCGCCCGGATATCCAGGATGACCGGGCTGAAAATTGTATTAAAATCGGTTTCCTGAAATCTGCTAGCCAGCCCTCTCCTCTTCCTCAACAATCTCTGCTAGCCTGCCCTCACCTCTTCCTCAACAATCTCTGCTAGCCTGCCCTCTCCTCTTCCTCAACAATCTCTGCTAGCCTGCCCTCTCCTCTTCCTCAACAATCTCTGCTAGCCTGCCCTCTCCTCTTCCCCAACAATCTCTGCTAGCCTGCCCTCTCCTCTTCCTCAACAATCTCTGCTAGCCTGCCCTCTCCTCTTCCTCAACAATCTCTGCTAGCCTGCCCTCTCCTCTTCCCCCAACAATCTCTGCTAGCCTGCCCTCTCCTCTTCCTCAACAATCTCTGCTAGCCTGCCCTCTCCTCTTCCTCAACAATCTCTGCTAGCCTGCCCTCTCCTCTTCCTCAACAATCTCTGCTAGCCTGCCCTCTCCTCTTCCTCAACAATCTCTGCTAGCCTGCCCTCTCCTCTTCCTCAACAATCTCTGCTAGCCTGCCCTCTCCTCTTCCTCAACAATCTCTGCTAGCCTGCCCTCTCCTCTTCCTCAACAATCTCTGCTAGCCTGCCCTCTCCTCTTCCTCAACAATCTCTGCTAGCCTGCCCTCTCCTCTTCCTCAACAATCTCTGCTAGCCTGCCCTCTCCTCTTCCTCAACAACCTCTGCTAGCCTGCCCTCTCCTCTTCCTCAACGATCTTCGCTACCCCGCTTGTGCTAAAATTTCTTACCTCTCCCTTCTCCCCATCCAATCCTCGATTTCCGCGCGGTCCTACTTTTCCGGTTCGGCCGGGCCGGCCGGGTTTTCCGATTCCCTGAAATCGTTTTGTATTAGCCTATCCTTTTAAAAATCATTCAATAATCAAATAAGTATCCCGAAGTCCGGCCGAAGATTTTGGCAAAAAATAGGTTTGAGCCTTCTTTTTTCCTTCTTAAAGGAAAAATCTGGACTGTTTAAGATAATTGTCTGTTTTCAGGCAAATCCGTACTCTTCTCCCATCGGCTCCAGGGGCTCCAATCTGGCCGGGCCGGCCTGGGGCTCCTGGTGCTCCTTCGTCACCTGGCTCTCCGCGTTCTCCTGAAAATGAGATTTTTTGGGGGTTGACAATTGCCGCTATCTACCTCTATCCCCACGCCGTCCCGGCGATCCTCGGTTTCCAGATCGACCATCATGTCCAGGACGTCCAGCCGGCCCTTCGGCTCCCTGAATTAATCCATTAAGCAAAATAATAAAAATATACTGTGCTAAATTTAATGAACAAAATCTAATTTCAATTTCTCGAAACGAGGCAGGACCCCATTAATGGAGAGAAATGTTTTTCGGCATGGTATGTTTTTGCAACATTTAATCATAGACTGGGTAGACCTAGGTTAGGCTTCGGCTAAGGCTTCGGTTCAACTTAGGCTTAGGCTGAGGCTTAGGCTTATAATTAGCTTAAGCTTCGTTTTAGGCTTAGTCTTAGGCTTATGCTTAGCTTGGGTTTCAAGTCGACCCTTGTCAATCCCTTTAAAACCCACCGGTGGCCCTGGCAGTCCAACTGGGCACTGGATACACTCGCCCTCGCGTATCACCCCGGAATATCCGCTGAGCCCTTTCTGGCCCGGCTGGCCCGGGTATCCATCATCTCCAGGTGCTCCTAGAAGTTTAAGATTTATTTATGGTTTTCGACGATAGCCACTATATAGCATGTTTTTGCCATTTTTTCAAAAATTTTAATGTTTCATAAAACTGTTGCTTCTTGATGAGGTAAACCGATACAATTCCTCGCGCGCAGGATTCACCGCTTGCCGTGCTTTATTTAAGTGCTTTTTAAAGGAACAGGCAAGGGATGCCTATTGATTTTGCTGGTCATGGATTATGGGCCCAAGGTTATCCCTTTCTGGACGGCTTTTTGACAGTGTTATCTTGAAACCCGATGTAACCAAAAAATTTTAATCAGAGAATGAATTTTCCTGAAACATTTTTGCATTAATCGTGCAATTTTTTAGATCATCATCCCCATTTTTGCCGATTTCATCATCTATAGAGCAAAAACATTTAAATCCGGTGCGCTAATTTTCGGAAAAGTGTGGGGGTTTCCTCAGGATTCTCTGCTCGCCCCCTTCCAAAACAATAACCTCAATACTGGAGATCTCACACGCATTGGTTAATGGCATTGGTGCATAGATAATCATTAAAAGTATTAATCCCATCAGGTGATCAATTTTTTTTGAAACATCTCTCCCTAATCTGAATTTTGTGAAACTAAAAATGTCTAAAATCGATACGAAGGATTTTGTCTATATTTTGGATTCCCTCAAGGCTCTCTGCTAGCCTGTCTCTACGTTACAAGCTGAGGCAGGATCCCGACCAAGGAGAGCAATTAATTCGATAATTTCTTATTTCAGTGACCTATTTTTAACCATTTTTCTGATAGTTTTCCTCGTTGTCGCCTTTAAAAGCTACATGATTTAGATAAATAAATTACTATAAACTGCAGTATCTAAATCTCTAAAATTACCAGGCTCTCCAGTAGGTCCCGGTGGCCCAACCGGACACGAATTATCAACGTGGCGTCCGCAGTTGCAATCCGTCTGCCGGGGGGCGGCTCGTTTTTGGTGACGCTGAAAAAGTGGTGTTTCACCTAACCTTAATAAAAAATTTTTCTTTTTTACATTATTCGTTTATTCCCAAAATATCCTATCCTACTATATATAAAAAAAATATATAAAAAAATAGTGTCTGTGTGTATTTCTGTGTGCATTTGCGTGCAACTTCCGTCAGCGTGTTCCAGTAGTATCTCAATAAGGGGTATGTATGATGCGTCATTAGGTGCGTAATGGCCTTGGGATGACTGCACACTAATCCATTTTTCCAATGGGATTCACAATGGGATGATTTCCAAAAATTGGCTGTTTTCGACGTTAAAATTAACTTTTGTTGAAAAAAGGAGGACCCTCTTTGTTAGGAAAAAATTAGGAAAAAAACGCCGGAAGTTGCGGAAGCCTATATAAGGGAGGAGAGGTAGCTTTTCTCATTTTTTTGTGATCGAAAATCGCGAGAATTATGCAGTGAAGAATATCATGGGTTCAGACAGGGCAGGGTTGAAAAGTCGCGAAACGGCTTTTCAACCCTGGTAAAAAATCAATTCATCCAAATTAATTAATTAATTAATTTTTTTAAATCAATAAATTGAATAATTAATTGATCGCTATAAACTACAGCATAAAATATTATATCGAAACTATTAATTTTCAGAACAAAATTACCGTATCCTTTGCCGTTGCGATTTGCTCTACCATCGAGCCCCAGGCGTCGTCCGCAAAGTTCTGGAAGCACGGTTCTTTATGAAATTCGAGGAGTTTTCCGAATTTTAATATTTTAATAAAGGTATATTACTAAAAAGCTTCTAGGATCTAAGCAAACAAAAAATAGAAAGGTTTTTAAGAAAATTTTTCGGAACTGAGAAATTACCCAAAAAGCATGAAAACGTTTTGTGTTCTAGCCTGAAGCATAATATTTTAGACGAGCACTAGAGAGTGACTAAGAGAGAGAGCGCGAGAGTGAGAGCGAGAGTGAGAGAGAGACCAAATTCACCTGGAACTCCTGAAAATCGTCGTTGGCCTGCAGGGAGAACTCGTTGATGTCGGCGACGATTTGGGCGCATAAAACGAGCACAATTCCCGTAGCCGCCCCGGTGCCTACGGTGGCCGTGGTGATGGCCACGTTTGTCGAGACGTGCATCTAAGTTACATCAATTCAAAAAAAAATAAAGAATAGCCTGAATTCGGAAAAAATGTTTCATCAAATAGGCAAATTGTGGTTTTTTGGGAAAAATAGTCTGATTAGGGGAAATTATTTCGTGCAGCCTATGCTTTGTTTCAGCAAATTACAGATATTTAATTTCCTGAAACCCCATTTATTTTATAATAATGAACGATCTTATAGAGATAATATAATTTTTATAATAGATAATATATATTGATTTTAATGACGATTTAAGCAACCTTCAAAAATACTCAATAACACTACGGTATTCGAATAACATAAATCTAGATAGAAGCCGGGCCGTCTCAATTTATATACCCGACAACCTGCAGGCCGTTCAGGCAAAAAACACTATGCTCCTAATGACGGTGCGGCCGTACGGAGGGCGTACAGTAGCGGAAAAGGCGGAATGAGGGTGGTGAGGGAATTGGATGACCATGGGAAACTACGAATAAATCTTTGTGGAGCGACAGCTCGCAAGTGTGCGCACATTGCCGTGTGAAATTGGCACCAAAAATTATTTCAGAAAACAACCATTTGTAGAAACGTTTTTTTTCTTTCCCTCATATTTGCCTGGATTATTTTTTAGTGAATTTAAAATTCTCCATGTTATTTTTCGCTAGGTTCAACCCACAATATTTATTCGGTACATACAGAGCTTTACATATAAATTGAAAGCATATCGGTTTCATTGGATCGATGATACCCGAGTGGCGGCGGTGAGATTTAGGTCGAATTGTCAAAAAAATTGTATAAATACATAAAAAAAATTAAATTAAGGATTTGGAGATGTGTCGTCGACCATTTCTTCATCGGATTCGGAGTGCTGAAAAGGGGTGATGAAGAAAAAAGGGCAGGCTAGCAGAGATTGTTGAGGAAGAGGAGAGGGCAGGCTAGCAGAGATTGTTGAGGAAGAGCAGAGGGCAGGCTAGCAGAGATTGTTGAGGAAGAGGAGAGGGCAGGCTAGCAGAGATTGTTGAGGAAGAGGAGAGGGCAGGCGAGCAGAGATTCCTAGGGAATTACCTCCTGCCAATCCGCCGTCTCTTCTTGATTTCTGCCATTCCAGACAAGATAATTCTGTCTTTGTGGCAGCTGGGTGATTGCGGCCGGGCAATGGTTGAGGAGTTCTCGGGTCAGCTCGATAGCTAGGCGACGTTGGTGGATTAACTATAAAAATTAAATAATAGATAGGATCAAATTATCAATTTTCAATTAAAAAAATCGTAAAAAAATTTGTTTCAAGCTTTTTACACAGCCGGGAGATTTAAATTTTTTTTAGTTCGTCTTCTCAGGCTAAAAAGAAAATTATTAGCTCAACTCTCTTGGGCTTAAATATTGTATATTCGGTTGTGAATCGTTGTAAATATGAAAAACGGTTTTTAAATTAGCTACACCCACCTCGTTTAGAAGCAATAAATTGATCTCCGGGAATTTTTCCAGGTCAAGCCGGGCGGTTGCATCTCGTTGTTTAGGTGCTTGAAAATGGCGATAAAATCAGAATTAGGAAATAAAACTTATTGTAATAGTCAAATTATTGTTACTAATTCGAAATTCCAAACGATGCATAAAGTGGTAAAAAAGGAGCCTATTTAAAAAAAATGTTTTGTACAGTACAGCTACTTTATTGGAATTGGATTCGTCAATTTGTACCTACCATTTTCTAATTAATTGGTTTTTGATTATGTTACAATTATTGGCAGCCTAATTAATGAACACTAGCAAAAAACAGCTAAAGTGAAAACTAGTGTATTAAAAAATGCTCTAAAAAACCACAGCGCAAATTTACTTTTTCAAAAATATGTTTCGTAGAAATGAATGTTTTTGTCGTAACTCTGTGTTTTAATTGATACGTCTCTTCTTCTAAAATGAAATAATACGCATTTACACAAGTATAACCCCCTCTAAAATACCTTCGGCTCCATTTTCCACTGGCACCTCATCAGTTTGCATATCGGCTTGTGACGTTTCTGGAGCCATTTCCGGATTTTCGGGCCTCCTCTGCAGGGCCATCAGCTCTTCGACAAACTCCTAAAACAGTAAAATGGCTGTATTTAATTATATTAAGATATCTTAATTAGACTCAAGCTTATTTCCCAAAAAATCTCTGCTAGCCTGCTTCAAGGGAAAATTGCAGTTTTGCGTAAAAAGATAATGTTTCATGCGCTTTTCAATTCTGATTAACGATACTCCACTTAATGCCTCCTTCCTGAGCTTGAAAAGTCCCATTCTTTGGCCGGTCTGACGACGAGATTTCCAAAGAAACTTTGCTAGGCTGCCTTACTGTAAAGTGTTTTTACTCAGGCTGGCGTTTTAGGATGGGACCAAGCTTATTTTGCTCAGAATTTTTTGCTGATTCAGAATGCGTTTTCCAAATTTGCTGCGGACTTCGCGTTCAAAAGTCATTTGGGGTCTAAATTAAGCTTAAAAACGGCATAAATTCGGATGCTGGCCCACTATTCCCTGCCTGGGCCCAGGTATTGTTGTGCCCCTTATCTACCCTCCCGAAGCCCCCTTTCCAGTTGGCACCATGGTGCATTGGTAAGCTGTTCGCTTGCCAGGCGCAGGGCGGCGGTTCGAACCCCGCCCTGCACAATTCCTTTTGCTTTTTGCATAAAAACCTGATTTTTTTGCATAAAATTGTGCTTTGACCTCTAACAGTTACTGAGCCAGTTTTAACGTCGGAAGTGACGACAACTTAAAAAAATAACGCAAAAAATCCAGGTTTAGTCAATTTTTTTTAGAATAAATGTCGAATAACTTTTTAAATAAAGGTCGGCAGCAAATTTGGTAACCATATTCGGAATCAGCGAAAAATTCTGCACAAGATAGGCTTGGTCCCATCCTAAAACGCCAGCCTGAGTAAAAACACTTTACAGTTAGACTCAAAATTTAATGCTTTATTTTAAAAAAACTTGCTTCGTTTAATTTTGAATTTGCGTTGTTGATAATTGCATTAATTAATTAAGTTTCATCGCTCAAAAATTTGATTTTTAACGAATCTTTACTAACCTGCTTCGAAAGCGACATTTTCTTAAACAAATCATGTTTCATCTTTCCTTCATCAAAAATTATTTTAATTCTATTTAAAGGGATCAAATGGGCGGAATTATAATGAGCAAATCTATTCTTAATTCTGATATTGAAAGGCTATTTTTAACTTTTATTTTTTAATTTTGTAATAAACATAGACATTCTTACAAAGCTTTGTTTTGCCCGTTTTTTAAAAATTTTAAAAATTTAAAAGTAAAAGGTTCAAAAGTTTAATAGAAACTCATACGTGAATGTCCATAGCAGCCCCGCGTACTTTGTCGCCCTCGTCCCCATGCAAATCGCATGCGTTTTCGCACACCGAACGAACCTAAATTTGGACGCGTGATTTAGAAGGTAAAAATGCTCTTCAGTTAGCAGTCGGATTTCGACATCTAAGTAAATTTGTTTTTCTTCAAAATGACCTAGAAAAGTGTGTTTCTCTGATATTACAGGAATCGGTGTGCTGATTTAGATTAATTTTTAGTTGAAGGGAGTCAGACCAATGCCACTCCTTAAAAACCCACCTCATGCAAAAAGTCGTCCACCGAGCTGTACGGCTTCTGGGTGAAGGAGGAGAAGGCGCGGTTCATTTCTAACAGAAAATCCTACCGTTAAAGTACAGAAACTTATAGAAAAACAATAAAACAATTAAAAAAGGCACTAAGATGAGAAAAAATCCAATGTTTCAAAAAATTGTTGGCTCGGGAAATGATTTGAGTTTCAGTGCGTCGAGCAGAGATTGTTGAGGAAGAGGAGAGGGCTGGCTAGCAGAGATCCTTAAAACCTTTAAACGGCCAGAATCTAGGAAACTGAGCCGAAAAACGTCCATTTTATAACTTGCCCTCCAAAAGTGGGCGTGGCCTAATCCCGGGCCCTGATCTAAACTTTGGCGTTGCGCTTAATTGCACATGTTTTTTTTGCTGGAAATGATTCAACCCGTACCCTCGTGACCATCCCTTAATCCCGCCCCGCCTACCGTAATCCCCTAGGGCGAGAGAATGCGGAATTTGCAGAGGGCTCAGAGAAAATGAGCAATTGGGCCATTCATTTTTTTGCGGGGAGGCCCGGATTATCTTCTGACCTCAGCGGGTGTTGCATTTAGGGCGGATAATCGGGTTGTTATTTCCCCGTTTCTTTTGTTGCTCTCTCTCACTCTCTCTCTCTCTCTCTCTCTCTCTCTCTCTCTCTCTCTCTCTCCGCTGACTTGACATTTATGTGGGAGGAAGAATGAGCCTGCAAATACTAGATTTTTGGACTTCTAAAGGGATTGGCAAGGCAGAAAATACTGACTAGGTAGGCGCTATAGATTTTGTCCCATAGAAAATTTTCAGTCAAAATCCATATCCCTAGCTTTCCGATACCTTTAAATAAGAAAATTCTAGCGAAGAAATGCGTAAATTTAAAAAATTAAAAAATTGGCCAACCAAAAAATGTTTCGAAAATTTTTGAGAAGCCTGAAAATTAATATCTGTTAATCGGCTAGTGCTCCTTCATTCAAATTATTTTTTTGCTTTTTGGTCCAGTTTTTCACCGCGATTCGATAGAGAATAAAAAAATATTACGAGTTTTAATTACGGCCCCAAAAAATGGAATACACAATGTTATAACAAAAAATGGTCTGCGCTCAATCAATAAATGTTTGACAAACAAAAAAAAGCGCTGAAAAGCTGGAATTCTTCGTTTTAATAAAATAAGCGAGTCCGCTCCTTAAAAAATTAGAATGTTTGCTTGCTTAAATCAAAGAAAAAAAAAGCTGTTTTTCGGTTATAAAATTTTGGAAAGTTCATGTTTCATAATTATTCAAGAAATCGGATCCTAGTTTTTTAATGTTCAGAAACATTTTATTTCATCGTCCTTTCCCTCCTTTCATTCGCGCTTCCAAAAACCTTCCAAAATCTTACAAATCCCCCAGATAATCGGAGGACCTCAGAATTCACGCGGCCACC